TTTAAGAAGTGGAGGGTGTGGCCTAGTATGGTAAGCCAAGAAGGGAGTTGCTGGGAGGGTTGTAGGGAGAGGTGGTCTTCTGAGGAAGGGAGCAAAGGGTCTACCGCTGCCAGGAGCTGTTGCTCCTGGGTTTTTATGTGTTCTACCACTGATACCGTGACGGAAGGGGTAAAGGTGGAGCGAGAGATGGATAGGCGCCCGGAGGGGTGGGCGTACCAATCTTTTGGGTAGACAGCCACGTATATGAGGTCTTCCCAGAGGTTAGCGGTTGGGTTAGGGATGTCAAAAGTGAAGTGGGAAAAGCGGCCTTCACGCCCAGAATGTCCACCTACGTAGTGGCGAACAAGGAAGCTCGGCCCTCCCCAGGCTTTCCTGCTGATGGATTCGTCGGCATAGTGAATCCTGCATGACTAATAGGGACAGCCATTGTATTTGTCCGGCCACCATCTACAATAGTCATGAGTTTGGTCTTCTAGTAAGCATAGAAAGGGCCAATGAGCGTCTGCCAAGCTTATTGAGGACTTTAAGCTGAGGGAAATAGGTTTTGAGCAATTGTTTACAGGGCATGTTTGCGTGTCCAAGTCCTTGACTGTATCTATCCTGCTGGCTTTGTAAAGTTCACGAATGGTAAACTGATAATGGAATACAGACAGGGTAGTGGGGTTGGTTTGAAAGACAATGGCAAGGAGAAAGGCGATGATCATATTGGGTCCTATGGATAGTGAGTAGAGGAGGGGATTGAGTAACTCGCACCAAGGAGCAGCACTTATGTGCAGCAATGTGAAAGTAGGAGGAAAAGAAAGAGCAGAAGGAAGGGCAGTTTATTATTAAGGGAAGGATGAAACTGACGACCATCTGGCAGAGGGTAGTTGTTGAATGCAGGCGGCAACCTTCGTGTCTTGTGATTATGTGGGATTTTCCTGGATGACGGGCAGGGAGGGGGATCGAACGACATGGGATACTCGGAGTTTGAGAGGCTGGCCTGGAATTGTGGAACAAGAAAAGGTCAGCGGCTCTGTGGAGGAAGGGGTAAAGGGAGACAGTTTAGTTGGTTTGAGATGAGAAACGTGAATCCAGGGACTGAGCTGTCCTTTGGTTATGAGCAGCCTGGCTGCCGTGGGGGTGGAGAGGACTATTTGGAAGGGTCCTTGCCATTTTCCCGGGGTGAGAGGCTTTGGATCATGTGTTTCTGTGGGAGCGGGCAAAAGGAGATCTTGATATTGGCAGATGCTAGAACGGATGGACAGGAGGGGTTAGGTTATACGAAGGGGGACATGAGGTGGAGAGGCTGGAATGCCAGGAGGAAGTGCAGGTTTTCCATATAGGACCTTGAAGGGTGAAAGCTGAGTGGGTTTTTTAGGGAGGATACAAACACAGAAGAGAGCTAGGGGAAGGAGGAACACCCAGTCCTGATGGAGTTTGAGAGAGAGTTTAGTGAGGATATCCTTTAGTGTGCGGTTAGTTCGTTCAACCTTTCCTGATGATTGTGGGTGATAGGGAATGTGAAAGTACCATTTGATGTTGAGGGCCGCCGTTAGATACTGAACAACTTGTGAGGTGAATTCAGGCCCATTATCTGACTGAAGAGAGAAGGGGACCCCAAACCAAGGGATGATGTGGTTGGCTAAGATAGATTCCACTGTAGTAGCCCGCTTATTTGAGGTGGGATAGGCCTCAACCCACCCGGAGAAGGTATCAACCAGGACCAGAAGGTATTTGATGCTATGGGCGGGGGGCATGACGGTGAAATCCACTGGCCAGTCTGACCCAGGGAGCTCTCCCCTAGCCTGGTGAGTGGGGAATGTTCCAGGCTTTAAGGGGGTACTAGGATTTGTTTGGTGGCAAGTAGAGCATTGAGAGGAAAGGATGTGTATGAGTTTTGTATGTTCAGGAGTAAGGTGGAAGAAGGTCTTAAGAAATGAAGTGAGAGCCGCTGGGTTTGGGTGGAAAAATTGAGTGTAGATAGGGTATGAGATCAGATAGTCGTGGGACTTCACACGTGTGTTCAGCTGGTGGGGAGGAGGAGTTGACGAGTATGGTAGGAAGGGGTTTTAGAGCCGCTTGGCGAGCTGCCCTGTTGGCTCGCGAGTTTCCTTGGGTGATAAAAGATGAATCGACCTGGTGGGCTTTACAGTGTGAGATGCCTAAGGCCTTGGGGAGCAAGGAGGCTTGAAGGAGGTCGGAAATGAGCTTAGCATTTATGATTGCCAATCCTTTGGTGGTTAATAACCCCCATTCCTGCCAGATGGCTGAGGGTGAAACTAGAATGTGAAAGACATATCTGGAGTTGGTGTAAAGTGACAGAGAGTGTCCGGCTGCCAGTTGGAATGCTCGAATGACTGCTGTGAGTTCTGCCTATTGGTTGGTGGTGTGGGGTGGGAGAGGATTAGCCTCGATGACATCAGTGACAGAGGTGATGGCGTATCCTGCTACCTGAGACCCCTCATGTATATAAAGCTTCCATCTGTGAACCATACATAGGAGGGCTCAGATAAAGGTTCTTCCTGAATATGTGCTGGACAAGGAAGTAGGGACTCGAGGACTTCGACGCATTTATGGATTGGGGTGTCTACAGGAGAGGAGGGGAGTAATGTGGCTGGATGAAGTTGTGCACAAGTTTGGAAGGAGATAGAGGGATCTTGGACAAAGAAAACCAGAAGGAATAGGACCCGACCAGGAGGGAGTGTTTTGAGGCCCTTATATCCTAGGAGGTGATGTAGATGGTGGGGGGAAGTAATGGTGATAGGTGCTCCAAACATGTTTTTTTGATTCGCACACGAGTAAGTGGGCAGCCGACAGGGCTCGCAGGCGTGGGCCCATCCCTGAACCGTGTGGTCAAGCTGTTTTGAGAGACAGGCTACAGGAGCAAATGTCTGTCCACTGAATTGGCCTAGAACTCCTAAGGCTGAGCCCTTATTTTCGTGGACATATAGGGTAAAAGGTCGGTGGACATTGGGTAGCCGTAGGGCAGGGGCCTGGAGGAGAGCCTGTTGGAGGACAGTAAAAGGCTGTCTAACAGCTGAGAGGGAGAGTAATGGTTCCTTAGGGTCGCCTTTAGCGAGGTCATAGAGTGGCTTGGCGAGAAGGGTGAAATTGGGGATCCAGGCTCGGAAGTAGCCCGCCAATCCCAGGAACGACTGGATTTCTTCGTTTTGGGCGCTGGGAGGGACTGAATAACAGCCTTGCGGCAGGTTGTTATGGCCTTTTGTTGGTGTGAAATGGCTACACCAAGGTAGGTGACTTGTGTTTTGGATAGCTGAGCTTTATGGGGGGAAACTCGGTAACCCCTTTGTGCTAGGAAGTTAAGGAGTAAGACAGTGTCTGTGTGGGAGTCAGTTATAGAGGGGCTGCATAAGGTCATCTACATACTGGATGAAAGTGGATTTGGGGAGTGACAGAAATTTAAGGTCGGCCGCTAGAGCCTGGCCGAACAGATGGGGACTGTCCCAAAATCCCTGTGGGAGGACCGTCCATGTGAGCTGTTGAGAGTGACGGGAAGTAGTGTCAGTCCAATAAACGTGAAAATGTCCTGGGAGTCAGCTGCCAAGGGAATGGTGAAGAATGCATCTTTAAGGTCTATAACTGAAAAGTGAGTTGCCATCGGAGGAATGGTAGACGGGATGGTATAAGGGTTGGGAACCAGCGGGTGAATGGGGAGAACGGCTGCATTTATTAGTCTAAGGTCTTGGACTAGCCAGTAGGTTCCGTCTGGCTTTTTTATGGCCAAGATGGGAGTGTTGTATGGTGAGTTGGTGGGCCTTAAGTATCTCTTGCGCAGCAGCGTATTTATGACAGGCTGCAGACCTAGCAGACTGGCCCTGAGGAGAGGGTATTGTGGCTGACTAGGGTGAGTGGACGGGTCCTTTAACTGGATGTGAACGGGCGGGCACTGGGCCAGTGAAGGGGTGTGGATGTCCCAGACTAGTGGGTTAACCGCCGAGGCAAGCGAGGGAGGAAACGAGGCAGGTTGTGGGGAGGGGGGCCTGGGGCTAGAGGCCAAAAGGAGGAGCAAGGAAGTTGTCGGTAGTGGGTTGGTGAGGGCAGCACTGACCTTATGTTCCTTGGTAAATGTGTGTACAGTGTTCCAAGGTAAGGACTCCAAGAATGGCCAACCTGAATGTTTATGCCATGCCTAAAAAGAATATCTAGACCCTGGCCTATTCCTTGGGACACGAGACATGCAAGGGCCAAGGCCCTCTATTTTGAGCTAGGTAGACGTTGCTAAATAGAGGTTGCTATATGAAAGTTACTATATAACCAGCAAGCTTGCCACAAAGGTAGCAGTTTTTATCCTGTCCAGCTACCCACCCCTGATACCCTATGTAAGTCCCCAATAAACCCTATGTCTCGCCTGCTGTCGCCAGGTCATTTTTTTGGACTCAGATACTGTACTGTCCCTGTTGGACTAACTGGGGGATTGGTATGACAGCATTCACATAGAAAGCAGTAAGAAACGTTGATTTGGGGGGGTTAATGACCATTATATTTAAAATATAAGGGCCTTTTTTTTTTTTTGAGTTGGAGTCTCACTCTGTCACCCAGACTGGAATGCAGTGGCTGTTCCCGGCCACTGCAGCCTCAATCTGCAGGGCTCCGGTGATCCTTCTGCCTCAGCCTTCCAAGTAGCTGGAACTACAGGCATGCGCTACCACACTTGGCTAATTTTTGATTTATTGTAGAGATGAGGTCTCGCCAAGTTGCCCAGGCGGGTCTTGAACCCACGGGCTCAGGCAGTCCACTCATCTTAGCCTCCCAAAGAGCTGGGATTACAGACTGAGCCACCAAGCCCGGCTAGGGCCTTTGAAGTAAATGATACACAATGAAAAAGAATATTAAAGAGCATACTAAGAAAAAAATCATATCATGGAAAATGATTAGCTGCATCGTTCACAATTTAATTATATTTTTGGTCATAATTTTATTTCACATTAAAAAAAAAAACAAGCCTAATAACTTATGTGCATAAGTTTGCTTTCAATAAATCATCTTGCCAACATAACATGATAAAGTTATTATTTATTTGTTACTTACAATCTTTAAAGATAAATTATAAGAGCAAAATTTTGGAAGAGTATTGTTAAAATGTTAAGAAATTTAAAAACTGTAATGGGAAAAATGTCACACATTACAGCTTAATAAATGTAGACTATATTAGAGATGTAAAAACACTTTAAGGAGAGACTGTACTGACCTAATAATACAGGTACACAAAGGAATTAATAGGTACCATTTCATGAGATGCATATTAATCCAATAGTGAATTAATTTACTGCCACACAGAGGGAGCAATTAGAATAAGGCAAACCAGGTCAACAATAAAAAAATTTCTAGTAAACTTAAAAGTACCATTCAAAATTTTTTTTACCATAAACATGTAAAATATGAAAATACTAAACTGAAAACTAGTCTTTCAGTTGGAATCAAATAATTTGACAATGTGAAAAATGTAAGCAGATCCCAGTTTCTTAAATGATCTACAGAGAAGAATGGTGGGAAAAGTTTGACCAGCATTAAAAAAGTATTATGCTGAAAGCAACATTTAGATATTTTTGGCCTCATTTTAAGTACCAATTTATTATTTAGTGAGTTAAATATAACACAATAGGAAAACAATATATCATATCACAGTATATATCCCAAGTTATAAATCTTCCTACATATAAAAAACAGAACAGAGTTATTTGTATTACAAGTTTTCAAAAGTATGGCAAACTAACCTGATATCATGATACATTTTTGCCATTATTATATTGAATCTTTGAGTTATTCATTCAGTAAATTAAATCAAAAATCTTTGATCCACCAACGTTTTGGATGCCAAATTCTTTTGTCCTACTGTATTACGGATAAATCTAAATACCTGGAAAATTAAAACAATTCAGAATGAAAAAAAATACATATATGAGGAAAATCAAATATGCACATCAATTAAGATATTTAAATTAAATTAGCTGATTCAACTATTTATTTTCTTATATCAAACATTTGAATTCCATGGTGATGCACAAAATTATTTAAAAACTATTATCAGCTTTCATAATATCAAAGCAGTATATGTTCCTCTTTAGAATATATTCTTATGAATTAATAATACAAATCCTCATGTGTATTTAAGACAATATACTCTATAAGGTATGGAAACATCAAAAGAATCTACTTGCTAGGGACAGAACTTGCTCATAATTCTAGATGTCTATCAAGGACTAATAAATTACATTTTACTCATATATATATGCACTTGCCATAGTGGAGAATGTTTAGGTGATATTAACAATCTCAGTTCAAGAAGCACATTTAGTAATATCTCCATTTCAGGCTCCACATTAATCACGCAGTTGTGTTTCATCCACACAGGCAGAAGAGGTGTAAGATTTACAAGCTAGAGGACTTTTTGGTGCTGTGTCCTGAGCTAGCTCCCCAGTGCTTGCATTTTTGTTAGGTTCACATCTGGTGGAGAGGGTGAATGGGACTCTAATTACTGCTCACTTCTAACATCTAGGAGATTGGCACAAAGGTGTCTTTCTACTGAATTCCTCTTCACCTACAGACAAGCAGCTTATGCTCTCCATTAGACCCTGTTATTTCATTGGACTTAAAGGACAGAGTGAAGAATGCAGGAGGCTGGAATGTTATTCCTTCTTTTGGTGGGCTTAGTCATAATCTAAACCTTCAAAAATTCCTAGTGAAAGTAGACACTGTTTTTGTTTTTTTTTTAAAGTAGTATTTATTGAGAAGACAAAAAAGCTCCCACAATGGGAGGGGACCTGAGGGGGTTGCCCATGAAAGTAGACACTGCTACTAACTGCTATGAAAATAAATATCTACTGCCAACACATTTCTTTTAAAAAACCAGAAAAACTTATAGAAATGTACCTCTTGTTGTAGGTATGTAAGGAAGGCTGCTAAAATAAAATTTTGACAAGCCAAATCCACAACACAGAAGAACAGCAAATCAAAAATAAGAAGGGTAGCTTCGTTTCCATAATATAGAACACTGCTGAAAGAGTAACCTTCATCTGTGAAGAAATAGAACAAATCCTTGATAAGTTTATGATGATAACACTAGGATATTCAAAAACAGTATCACATACAATACTTCATGGCTTATACAAAAATAAACAAAAGGTATTAAAATTTGTTCATCTGAAAGAGGTTAGTCAAATAACTCATAAAAAGCAGTTTAACAGCCGGGCTTGGTGGCTCAGCCTATAATCCCGTGCCTTTGGGAGGCTGAGGTGAGTGGATTGCCTGAGCCCGCGGGTTCGAGACCTGCCTGGGCAACTTGGGGAGACCTCATCTCTACAATAAATAAAAAATGAGCTGGGCGTGGTAGCGTACGCCTGTAATTCCAGCTACTTGGAAGGCTGAGGCAGAAGGATCGCCGGAGCCCAGCAGGTCGAGGCAGCGGTGGCCGGGAGCGGCCACTGCACTCCAGTCTGGGTGACAAAGTGAGACCCCAACTCAAAAAAAAAAAAAGCAGTTTAACATTAGGACCAAGGATTGATAATTGCTAGTAAAATTTCAGAGACCAGTGAATGAATATACTTTCTCTAGTTCTTTATACAACTAAAGCCTAAATTAATCTTAGAAAGATTCTCTAAGATAGAGTAAGTTTATTTTTTTATTTTTTGAGTTGAGGGGTCTCATTCTATCACCAATGCTGGAGTGCAGTGGCAAGATCACAGCTCACTGCAGCCTCGAAATCCCGGGCTAAAGCAATTCTCCTGCCCTAGCCTCCTGAGTAGCTGGGACAACAGGCATACATGACCACTCTCAGCTAATTTTTTTTAATTAAAATTTTTTTTGGTTGGGCACAGTGGCTCACACCTGTAATCCCAGCACTTTGGAAGGTGGAGGCAAGAGCACTGCCTGAGCTCAGGGGTTCGAGATCATCCTGAGCAACATGGTGAGACCTCACCTCTACAAAAACAAAAAAAATTAGCCAGGCATAGTGCCATGTTCCTGTAGTTCCAGCTACTTGGAAGGCTGAGGAGGAAGGATCACCTAAGCCCAGCAGGTCGAGGTTGCAGTAGCTGTGAGCATGCTACTGCACTCCTGCCTGGGTGACAGAGTGAGACTCTGACTCAAAAATATATATATATTTTTTATAGAGATGAGGTATCACTATGTTGACCAGGCTGGTCTCGAACTCCTGGGCTCAAGCAATCCTCCCATCTCAGCCTCCCAAAGTGCTGGGATTACAGTGGTACCATTATGCCCAGCCAGACATAACACATTTACAAAACAAAACAAGCAAGGCATAGAAGAGTACACAGTGTTCTAGAACCCCTCTCAAATAGTCCCCTCAGGTTTTACTTGAAAACCTCTTCTCACTCCACAAGTGGGTTGTCCTTTTTTGGAACATAAACACCCTTTAAAAAAGATTCTGATTAAAGCTATAGATCCTTTCACCAGACAAAAAAGTGCACATATTCACATCTTGCAAACAATTTCAGAGTGGTCCAAAGAACCACTGAAGTAGCCCAGGGTACTCAGCTAGGAACCTCTGTTTTATGCAAGGGGACATCTTGGGAGTAGGTGATGTCTGCTCTTGATAAGGATGCTAGTTACAGGAGCATATTCCATTTGTGAAAGTTCACTGACGCCGGGCTCGGTGGCTTAGCCTGTAATCCCATGCCTTTGGGAGGCTGAGGTGAGTGGACTGCCTGAGCCCACGGGTTCAAGACCCGCCTGGACAGGCGAGACTTCATCTCTACAATAAAAAAAAAAAAATTAGCTGGGCGTGGTAGCACGCGCCTGTAATTCCGGCTACTCAGAAGGCTGAGGCGGAAGGATCGCAGGAGCCCAGCAGGTTGAGGCTGCGGTGGCCGGGAGCAGCCACTACACTCCAGTCTGGGCGACAGAGTGAGACTCCAACTCCAAAAAAAAAAGTTCACTGGCCTGTAAGTTATATCCTTCCAAAATATGCACTTCTATATATGTATTACACTTGCAAATATAATTTTAAAAATAAACTCGTTTGACATGCTTTTTCTGAGTGATGTTCCACTAACATTGACCTCACAGGATGGCAACTCCCTAACTTATCATGTGCCTTTATTTTCTAAGATCCAGTTCCTTATACTTAGTGTCTACTGAACATCTCTTTCTAGATGTCCCAAAGGTTTCTCAAGATACAACACATTCATAACTAAATTCAGTTTCTTTCCCACAAAAACTAGTCCTCCATCCACATTCCCTGTCTTACTGAAAAGTACTACTTAGTCACACAAGTTGGAAATCTGGATAACTTTTGACTACCCTTTCTCTCCTGACTTTCTCTCTCGCAATCCTTCTTTAGCCCCATTGCTATTGACTTAGCTTATAGACTCATCATCTCCTGAAGAAGATGAAGACAGAGAGATGAAAGTATAACATAGGAGGAGGAGAAAGATGGGGGAAAATGAAGAAAAACTGTAATAAAAAGAACAAAGTAAAAAGGAAGAAGGAAGAGAAAAACAGAAGAAAGAAAGAAGAGGAAGATGACTGTATTATTAGAAATAGTAACAACATCCTTTTACTGGGTGCCTAGTCATAACAGGTACTGTACTGGGTTGGGCATGGTGGCTTACACCTGCAATCCCAGCACTTGGGAGGCCGAGGCAGGAGGATTGCTTGAGGCCAGGAATGCAAGACTAGTCTGCTCAACATAGCGAGACTCCATCCCTACAAAAATAAAAATAAAAAAAGCTGGGTGTAGCGGCAGCTATTTGGGAGTCTGAGACAGGAAGTTGGCTTGAGCCCGGGAGGTCGAGGCTGCAGTGAGTCATAATCAGGCCACTGTACTCCAGCCTGGGCAATAGAGTGAGACTCTGTCTCACAAAACAAAACAGGTACTATACTGGGACCTTTATACATAATAACCCCACAAAACCTTTGGAGAATTATGCCTAATTTTACAGAAAAGCATTCGAGTTCAGAAAGGTTAACCAACTTTCTCAAGTTCACAAAGCTAGAAGGTGGCAGAGTCAAATTTTAAATACAAGACCCCAATATTTGAAAGCTATCATATCTTAATGACTAAGCTATAATGTTAAAATCTTGCAACTCTTTAACTCAACCTGCACCCTACTGCTAGAGTAATTCTTCCAATGTGCAAATCACATCTGTTTAGCATTCTTCAGTGATATTCGTGTTCATTAGTAGTGGCTTCCAAATTGTTTTGATCATGTACTCTTATCAGAATAAAATGCTACGCATGGAACTCCATAATAGATACATTTTTAAATATTTAATATTTAAAATTTTTAAATATTTTCTTCTCACATCTCCGTAGATCAATTTACACATATCTTGTGAGGCAAAAATTTAAAAAAAAAATTTTTTTGGAAACAACTGGCCGACAGGATCTGGTTAAACTCCCTAGGGTATAAGACAGGCCTTTGGGATTTGGTCTCTGCCTTCTTTATCGTTCAAGCACTCTCTCTGTGTCCCATTTCATACCAGACTTCAATTATGAAGTTTGTAAGTGCATGACACACTGTACACTCTGTTTTCTGAATGCCCTTTTCCATTCTACATGAAATGTCTTTGCTCCTCCCTTCCCTTGAACCTCCCATTTAACAAATAGCTACTACTTTCTAAGACCCAGTTCAAACTTCTCCACTTTGCCTCTTCTGGCTTACTATATGCCTGGTTAGATTTTCTATTCTCTTTTCTGACCCCAGTGGAACCTGTACCTGCACAGACTTCTATCCCAGCACCATGCCACTTACTCCTTCACATGTCTGTCTTCCATTGTCTACTAAATGAGATGCCCGAGAGAGGAATCTATTGGTCTGTGTATCCCAGGACTGGCCCAGCATCTAGCATTCAATAACATGTAGATAAATGATATCCAGGCCAAGACAATGGTTGTATTATTTCCATTCTTACCAACTCATACAACAGGTTATTGGTCATATTCAAGTGACATCCACATTATCTTTTTTTTTCTATTTTTATTTTTTGAGCAGAGTCTCACTCTTGTTGCCCAGGCTGAAGTGTAGTGGCACGATCATGACTACCAAATCCTTGACCTGTCGGGCTCAGGCGATCCTTCCACTTCAGCCTTGCAAGTAGCTAGGACTATAGGTACATGCCACTATGCCCAGCTGATATTTTTTTGATTTACTACAGAAACAAGGTCTCGATATGTTGCCCAGGCTGGTCTAGAACTCCTAGGATCAGGCAATCCTCTTGCTTGGCCTCCCAAAGTGCTGGGACTACAGACTAAGCCACTGCACCTGGCCCATAATATCTTTTCTGTGAGAAGAAATCAAGTTGAATCACTATTCCTGTCACAAATATCAGTGATTTTAAGAACTTGGATTAAATATTAGATGTTAAAGATTAATCACAAATGTTATTCTTCTTTGTTTCATAAGTTTGCCATTAAATGAACATTCCAATAATATCTGAATGTTAGGTATTTGTTTTACTATCTATTCTATGTGTACTGTTGATTCTGAAATTTAGCTTTTTTTAAACTTTCCTGTAGAATCTTTTATGTTTGATTTCTACTACATAATAAAAGAGAACACAGAAAATGACTATAATCCATGAGGTTTACTTCATTATTTTTCTTTGTTTTTTATATAAAATTATTAAATCAAAGGAAAAATAATTTGAAGCACTTTTTTTTTCAAACTTTGAAAGCAGAAATCAAGTTCAGCAAAGGCATTTAAGAGATACCATTGTAAAAGATGCTTTTTTCCATTGGCTCTATGAATTCAATTCCAAGAATTCTTTCAAGAAGCAACTTATCTTTTATAAAGTAATCCATTTCCTTATGAACCTATGTAAAAAGACAAAGCTATTTCAAAAACAGCAGTGAAATAAGTGCTTTCCAATTAATGTAAAATCAGCAGTAGGGGGGAATGAAAAATGAATAGTTCACAAAGAAAATCTGTTCATCAAAAACACCAAATTTACTATACTGGGATTTATAATAAAATTCTCCTCAGGAATATTTAAAATTTTAAATGCCCTTACTAGTATTTAGGGATAGATATACTGAAAATCAATTTATAATCGGCTTTTCAAGAACATAATCATAGCATAACATGAAGATTTCAATAATAAATAATACAGTAATATTATGGCAACTGGCTAACAAAACCCAGTACAGACATAGTTAAGGAAATCATCATGTTAACAGACACACACAAAAATCTCATTTTACTTTTACATAAGCTATCTATACCTAAACCATACTTTGTTAATGGCTAGAAATATCTTTATAAAACATATTATTCCTAAGTATTAACTTCGTCAGACAAAAAAAGGGGGGGGCAGGAATTCTAAATCCAGTGAATTTGTTGCCTTGAAAAAATAACTGATATTCCCACTTAGCCTTTTAAAAATTGCATCTGATTCCAGCTTAACAAAATACAAAATACAAATATTGATATACATACATGATCGATGAAGGAGCCAAGAAATTTATTCATTGCATGATATGCTTTTATACTCTGCTCAAAAGTACTTGCTGATGAACTCAATAATCTAGCAGGGCCATTTTTCTAACATAAGAAAGAGAAGTAAATAAATACAACATGTTTTATATTCTTGGTATGTTAAAAAATTAAATATTGCAAATATATATCTGAACTGTACTTGATACAAACCCTTATGAGTGTCTCATGAATTCTGTCATAGTATTGTCTCATTTGGCTAGAAATTGCAATCTGAAAAGTCTGACCATCTGTGTTGGGTACCAAACCTCTCTGGCTACACAAATTTGCCTGAAAAGTTATAAAACATTTAAATTAAGATCAATTTTATTTAAAAAATTTCTTTCTTAAAAAGAAAATACAGAATGTTTCTTTTACTTAGTATCACATATTATAAGATTCAGAATCTAAATGAAATTTCCTGAAACCATATTTGAGACAAAGAGCTTCTAACATTATCCAAAGTTCCCATTCCCCTCCAGATTTCACTAAATTCTACTTTATTCTAACTCATACTACCCTGCAGGTCTTTATGTTATCTTCTTTGCTCTGTGTTAAAAAAAAAAAAAAGAAATTTATATATATATAATATATACATATTACACTAAGTTTATTGTATAATGATATTCTTACCTTTACGATTAACCTTATTGCTCTTTTAATGTATGCTGAAAGGTCTCATCATGGAATTAATTAGTTTTATAATTAATTATAAATGGTCTTTTTTGTTTTCTAAACATTTTTGAGATGCTTCCTTAATTAATTCCAGTAAAAAGGTAGTGATACATGACCAAACAGCTAATGTTATAAATCAGATATCCACATCCGGTCTCCTTGACAAGACATGCATCCTGACAACCAGAAATATGCAACATTTAAAAAATTTGAATGATGTTTCAAATGTGGAGTCAATTTCTCTATTTAAAAAAATGATTTATTTCTTGATTTAAAAAGTACATCTCAGGCCAGGGTGGTGGCTCACACCTGTGATCCCAGCACTTTGGGAGGCTGAGGCAAGAGGATTGCCTAAGTCCAGGGGTTCAAGACCAGTCTAGGCAACTTGGTGAGACCTTGTCTCTACAATAAATCACACAGACACAAAAAATAGCCATGTGTGGTGGCGTGTGTCAGTAGTTCCAGCTACTTGGAAGGCTGAGGTAGAAGGATCACCTAAGCCCAGCAGGTTGAGGATGCGGTAGCCGTGAGTGTGCCACTGCACTCCAGCCTAGGTGACAAGAGTGAGACTCCAACTCAAAAAAAAAAAAAAAAAAAAGCTCTTAGTATATATATCGCCCAAATACTTTCCTAAAGATCTATAAAAGTTTATCCTGCCACTAGTAGTTTTGTGGTTGCCCATTCCACTGTGTCCTTGATGCTACTAAGTAGTAGCTTTGCTTTAAATAAGTTTGATAGTCTGAGGAGGGAAAAGGCATTATTTTTATATTTAGTTCTTTGATTATGAATTAACATTTTTTAGAGGTTTAATTAGTTTCTTCTGCTTCATTGTTAACTTAAAAAATATTTTGGTGATTTTTCCATTGAGGTTTTAATTTACTGTTTTCTTATTGATTTGTATGACTTTTAACATCATTTAAAATATCTCTGTCATATTTGTTATGAGCATTTTATCCTAATTTCCTAACTTTTAGTTATGATTGTTTTATATATAAATATACTATATTGATAAATAGTACATTTCCCCAATATTATTCCCTTTTTGATACTTTCTATTCTTTATGCTTAGAATATACTCCCCCCCACTCTGAAATATTCTCTACTGCATTCTAATAGTTACATTTTTTTACAATTAACTTTTCAATCACAGGGTAGTTTGTTATAATTAGCCAAGTGATCCAGTTTGATGTATTAAGTAAAATCTTGGCTGAGCTTAGTGGCTCAGCCTGTAATCCCAAAATGGATTGCCTGAGCCCGCGGGTTCAAGACCAGTCCAGGCAACTGGTGAGACCTTGTCTCTACAACAAATCAAAAATTAGCTGGGCATGGTAGCACACGCTGTAGTTCTGGCTACTTGGAAGGCTGAGGCAGAAGGATCACCAGAGCCCAGCAGGCCAATACTGGGGTGGCCGTGAGCATGCCACTGCACTCCAGCCTGGGCGACTCCAGTGGAGTGAGACTCCAACTCAAAAAAAAAAAAAAAAAAATAAATAAATAAATGAAATCTTCTTCAAGATGCCATTCTCATGTGTCAAATTTTTACTAGTTATGGGCATGGGCCCTTAATCACTAAACCCTCCTGGTTTTACCTCAAGCATATCTTTTTCTTTTTAAAATTTTATTATGGAGGTTTTCAAATGTATATCGAAGAGAGTATAGTAAATCACCCATTACCTAGCTTCAACAATTACCAACATTTTACCAATTCTATTTCATCTATCCTTTCAACTTTTCTTTTTTCTTAGAGTATTTTTAAGCAAACCTCAGACCATGCCATTTCATCTGTAAATACTTCTGTATGTATCTCTAATAATGACTTAAAGAAAAATAATTATCATACATAACAAAGTTAATCATATCTTCATATAAGTTAACATTTAGTCCATTAAATCTCCCAGGTTTTTTGCAAAGACTTTATTTTTTAATAGTTAGGCTGTCTGAATCAGGTGCCAAAGTCCACACAATGTATTTGATTGGTTTCTTAAACCTCTTTTACAGTGCAGTAGTTCTTCCACCATCACCATCATCCCTCCTTTTCTTTTCATGCTATTTATTTGTTTGCAAATTCTGAGTCATTTGTTCTGTGAGGCATCCCTGGCTAACTATTTCCTGTGGTGCTATTTAATTTGTCGCTTTATCCCTTATACTTCTTGAAACTCTTGGTTAGATCTAGAGGCTTGATTATATTCAAGTTCAACTTTCTTAGGCAAGAATACTTCATGGGAGGTATTATGTACTTCCTGTTGCATCATGTCAGGAAGTGTATGTATCAGCTTTCCTCATTTTTACTTACAGTATGTCCAAATTATGTCAACCTGATCCCTCATTATAATGTTCCCCACAACATTCACTTAGTTGTTTTAGCATACAATGATGACTACAATCTACATTTATTAATTCATTACTTATTACAAATGGTGGCTTTTTAAAAAGCTTAGAATTCCTTCTACTTCCTTCTACAAGGAAGAACTTTCCCTCATAAATTATTTGGTTACTTTGACATATAGATCATATAGGAAATGCAAGATGAAATTAAATTATTTCCCTTTATCAATGTTCAGGGTGATAAGTTGCTTTAAAAAAGAGGGAGAACCCATCTCTCAACTTAAAAACAAAAAAGATGTAAAATGCATTCATACCGCTTCTCTTTTGAGATTCATATTCATTTCTTCCATATTAGTATCTGCATGCCCATGTACTGATCTACCATGAATGTAATATCCAAAACATTTGTGGGATAACAGAAATACTGATATCTATAAACAGAGAAGAAAAATAATCAGCAATTCACCTGGAAATAATTAAAATAATAAGTTTTTCTTAAAACTGCATCCTTTCTCACAAAATAATGAAGACGGGATTCTTGGAAAATTATAGGAAGAGGATAACAATGTAATAAAGGATAATAAGGTTATTAGCAAAAAGTAAATGAAAAAGATATTGAAGATACTTTCCAAGAAGTATCCAAGTATCCTATTTCCACGAAGAAATAGGGTTGATAGATGAATAATTTTCAGAGGCTCTGGGGTGAATGAACTATTTGGCAACACAAGAAATTCATAACTAAGAAATTGCAAATAAAGAAGAAAAAAATGAAAGCAGTAAGTACTAACTTGTAGCTCATTATAATTATCTCTGGAATTAACAACCAGTGGAAAATTAGAATAAAAATCCAATCACACCAAATCACTTTTAAAGCCTCTCTTAATGTACTCGTGACCTTTAAAATGGGAAAAATAACAGTTACAAGATAAAGTCAGTTAAGTACTTACATTACTCATAGAGCACAAATCAACAAACTGTCGAATTTTATCTTCTATAAATCGCTCATAAAAGACAGCAAAGAACATGATCTGAAACATTAAGCCACATTTATGCTTATTAGCTTTTAGGTTAATTTTCTTTTATAGCTACAGTGTAGCATCTTAAGAAAAATGAAGTTCCAACCAAGAACACAGTGGCCTCTAATGGTTCCCATGGGATAAAGTTCTACCTGTCATTTCTGACTTTTCTGTCAAAGCACGAAGGACTTTAGAATTGTGTTAAGAGTCATTGAGGGAGCCTGTTTTGAATTTTGAAAACTTTTCTTTGTCATTAAAACAAGATAAGACAAACACAGGGGAAGAAAAAAAAGTCTTTTAAACATTTAGGATAAACCAAAGTATTAACAGTTAGATTTTTATCTGGTTTGCAATTTTGCTCATTTCCTAACTTCCAAAAGTCATTAGAAAACATACTACTTTTCAAGTTAATTTTCTCTGAAAGAACACCACATAAAAAGCATATATTTAATATTCTATTTGGACTAAAATGTGTTCACTATTCATAGGAAATGGTTCCAGGTGTTATTTTAGATAGACTTAATAGCAATACTAGAAAGAGAAATTTCATTAAAAAAAAAAAATTCACATTGTAGACCTTCTGAGACATGTTTAAAAGAAAGATAACATTTCCTAACCCCCTATTTAAAGCTGTCCCCACTGTCTCCCATTCCTGACCTCCATTGCCCTCACTTCCATTTACTCTCTCTTATTTCCCCGTGCAGACTCGCTCCATAGCACGTGTCACAATTTCTAACTTGTTGTATCTATGAGCTCAGCCCAGCACCCAATATACTCAAATATGTGAATGAATAAATACTCTACAGCAGCTGATTATTGAAAACACTTTCCTAAAAATTGTATATACATATTTTAAACCCTTTTCAAGGACATGAAAAACAGCAACATTCAATGTTTCAAAATTAAAGGATACTACTTAAAACCCAAAGAGACTGGGTTTATAGAAATAAGTGAACAATAAAGCCTGACATCATTAGAATCAAGAGTTTAGACAAACTTATAAAACTATAACAAGTTTGTTAAAGAAACTCTTAAGGATACTTGAAGAATAAATACTTATCATCTTAGAATATTACCATGCTTTCCTATCAGACTACAGCAAAATGAAAAGCAAAGAATGAGGTTAGTTGGTGGTGTCCGAGACTGCTAGGTGCTGTCCTGATGATACTTTCCCTTTTCTCCTTCGTAACAGATCCCTACTATGAGCAGGGCATACTGCTGCCCTGCTGAACGACTCTAGTGCAGTGAGCTGTGGTCACGTGACTAAATTTTAGCCAAGGAGATGTTGAATGGCACTTCTAAGAAGGGTCTAAAGGAGGAGGTAAGCTGTCTGCCCCAACTCCCTCCTACAACTGCATCAGCCATTATGGGCCATGGGAGGACCTTGATGATGGAGGTGATCAGGTGGCAGAGCAGAAGGACAGGCTTCTGACTCCTGACGGCACCACTGAGTCATCATTCCAGCCTTTCTGGCCTCTGCTCTTCTCTTTCATGAGAAATATAAAGTTCTCTTTTACTTCTGCTACTCCTATTTTGTTTCTATTCAGTCAAATATTAAATGCTTCAGATGGTATTCCTTTAAATTTTCTACATCCAGATGAATCTTACATATTTCCAAAACATCCTGGTAAATACACATCCAAAAGATTCCCTTACTATTCTATTGATGAGAAACATCAAATTCCATACTTTTGATTCCATTTTATTTCAAATTCTAATTTCTGTTTGTCTTCTTTTTTTGGTTTCAACTATCCCCCACTAGCTGTGTCCCTATAGTTTCAAGTTTGAGTACAGTCTTATCAACCTAAAATAAATGTAAGTGGAAAAGTCAACTCTCAGATTACAGCATACCACCTGGACAGAATTCTCTAGCAACAGGCACTTTAAAAGGGATTTCAATCTCAAAAGACCCTTAAAAATAGGCTGCTTTAGGTAATTATCAGCCAGGTTTTATGTAGTTAAACCTGATCTCTCTAGAGGTTCCATCTTTATTTGCTGATTACAAAGGCTAAAGGATTTTTAAAGCAAACAGAAAAGTTCCTTCTGTTTATGGGAGTATCTGGAAGCAAGAGAAAGAAGTACATAGTTGAAAGTTAAATGCCTTAGCCACTGCTTCTTTCTTTTTCTTTTTTTCCTTTCATCTTTTTTTTCTTTTTAACTTTCAGAAGATAAGAGAAGTAAGCATAGAAAAGAACCTCTGCTAGAACCATGGGACCTGAGGCTGAGAAAACTTATTTTTAGTTTTGGTCTTTTCAATAAATATTTCAAAAAACATTCCCCAAGGGGCACAAGCAATTTGAAAGAGATTTAATGATACATAAATAATTGTAAAAATAAGTTATGTTTCATTCTGCTGAATGGTCAAGGGAGGAAAAAAAGAAAAGTAAGTTCTGTTTCAAAAAAGAAAAGAAAACATTTAGGGTAGGTTATCTGTCCCTGTACTTATGTATAACCTCAACAAGGAAGTCTGTCCTATGACTACAAAGCTGAAGACTAAAAGACTCTGACATCAGGCTGCCCGTGTTCAAATTCCAATTCTGCCAATTACTAGTTACATGATTTTAGGAAATTATTTAACCTTCCTATGTGTCAGTTTCCTAATCTGTAAAATAAGGATACTAACAGAATCTACCTCTGAGGGCTATTGTAAAGATTACATAGTTAACAGGTATAAAGCAATCTCTAAGTATGCAGGGTATTGGTTCTAGAATACCCAAACACCAAAATCTGCTCCTACTCAAGTCCGGCAGTCAGTCCTGATGGAACTCACATATATGAAAAGTCAGCCCTCTGTATATGTAGGTTTTGCATCCCATGAATACTGTATTTTATATTCTTTGATCTGAGTTTGACTGAAAAAAATTTGCTTATAAGTGGACCATTGCAGTTCAAGTCTTTTTCAAGGGTCAACTTGAATTAATGAGTACATTGTCTGAATTATAAGACATTATAAGAAATGGCTATTAGCTATTATTATTGTTGTTCTTGTTGCCATCCTTCTGCTACAGAAATCAGGATATGTTTAATATTTGAGGGTAATCAGTATGTAAAGCAGAGTTATAAACAGGCAATGTCACTTAACAGTATAATCTCTCGTTACCTGTATAATTCCAATGACTAGCCAAAGAGCTGCAGACACTGCATATCTCAAAATGCGGCTGTAAGGAGCTATATAGCTAGGTGGGCTTATGGAAAGATTTGAGGATGAGTCCATTAATGCTAAGTTCTTGAATCCCACAACCTGGAGTAAAAAAGAAAAATAACAATTTAAACACACATAGATAAAGAAAACTCCAGACTGAAAATAGAATATTCCTCACCTTGAAAAATGAAAATATCTAAGTTCATGCAAGCAGTAGAAAATCTAGGTGAAAATAATTATTATCCAGTATTTTAATTACAAACTATTTTTAACATTCTTCTCCACATAACTAAGGGTCAAATATAACCTTATTGTCATACACAATGACAATGCTCAAACATTTCTGTTACAATGAATTAAACTAACAACTAGCATTTCATGAGTATTTAACATGCACAAGCACTATACTAAATTATTTTATACTTTAAAATAATCTATTTCAAAATGTCTTCTGAAGGACACCTTCTTTGATCAAAGGAAGCCAATTGTTAAAAAGCTACTCCTTTTTTTTTTTTTTTTTTGAGTTGGAGTCTCACTCTGTCACCCAGACTGGAGTGCAATGACCGCTCCCGGCCACCGCAGCCTCGACCTGCTGGGCTCCAGCAATCCTTCTGCCTCAGCCTTCCAAGTAGCCGGAATTACAGGCATGCGCTACCACACCCGGCTGATTTTTTGATTTATTGTAGAGATGAGGTCTCGCCAAGTTGCCCAGGCGGGTCTCAAACCCGCGGACGCAGGCAATCCACTCACCTCAGCCTCCCAAAAAGCGTGGGATTACAGGCTGAGCCACCGAGCCCGGCTAAGCTACTCCTTTTTAATGGCTTCATAATATTGCAACCTTTAGAAAATTTCCACTGTCATGAAAACTTAGTGAAATTATATTAATTTAACATTTCTGGGGCACCCATAGGTTGAATATAATTATATCAAACAGTTTATACCTCCAAAAAGAAGAGGACAGTAAGCACTTGAAAGAGCGAATTAATTTTTCTCACAGTCTGAATTTCATTCCATTCATTTGCTACAAAATATGTTCTCCATATGCTTACAGGAACAGTAGCACTCCGTACACCACCCTCACCTGATTACGAAGATAAAACGAGTAAAAAAGTTTTGCCTTCTTTGCTCTGCAAGGATAGCAAGAGAATGTGAGTATGAATGTTTACTTCACTTACCTTCAACAGATTTCAGAACCTTTCCTTTAGGTCGCTCCCAATCAATAAAAAATATATCTATGGTAATCTGAGATAGGAGTTTATGCAAGAATTGCAGTGCCTGAAAATGACATATGATAAAGTACCTGAAAAGTATCAGCATTAAGCCCACTTATAAAACCAACATTTATTCTTTAAGAAACATTCTGTAATGAAAAGAATGAATCATATTTACAAGTGAATTCACATGAAGTTATAATACCATTAGGGGATCACTAGAAACGCATCAAATAGCCTGGAATTACCCAATTCACAGAATTTTCACATACATATTAATTTACTTTCCTTTATTCTTTCTGTAAAATAGGAATATATAAAAAAGAAGACATCGTACTTCCTTTTCACATAGGAGCCTTGCATAACTGATTCTCTTTCCCGAGATTTCTGGAAGCATACTTTGTTTTGGAGATCATGTGACTTCTTTATAAGTAAAGACAGTTTTGAACCGTACTTTGGTTTTCTTAATTAAAGTTTTAGAATGCTCACACTGTTTTTTTCTGGTATTGAGATTTCTGATTTCTAAAAAATGTGTTGCTAGAACACATCTTTCTCATTTATAGAAACAATATGTTTAAACTGAGGCATTCTTTCTAATAAATGCCTTATTGATCAAACAAAAAATAAAAATCTAATTATGGGATGATACCTCAACTTAAGGAGCTCCCAGTTCAGTGGGAAAAGCAGACACCTAATAATCACAGTACAATGGAATAAGAACCACCTAAGAGCCATGAAAGAGCTTCATATACATTTATAGAGAACACTGAAGCTGGGAAGGGGAGGCCATAGGAAGAAAGGGAAAAAGGAATACAGAGACAGAGAAAACAACTTCTAAGATTTCAGCACTTTATCCAGAGTTATATCTTTTATCTTTGATTAACAAAATTCATGCCTGCAGGCATTTTGTCCCCTTCTGAATGTATCATCAGACTTTAAAGAACAAAGTTATATATGGAAATATCATTTTAATCAAATTAGCCATAATTCATAATAGTCCAAATATATCTGTGGTGTCTTTGAAAAAATTATTTCAGGCATATTTTCAGAATAAGCTAGCTACTATAAATAAAAAGAAATTGACTATGTAAAATAAAATAATTCATACTTTCTTTCAAAACCAAAGTGAATTTCACACTTAAGATTTTGAGCCTGGCTCGGTGGCTCAGCCCGTAATCCCGCACTTTGGGAGGCTGAGGTGAGTGAATTGCCTGAGCCCGCGGGTTCGAGACTCACCCGGGCAACTTGGTGTGACCTTGTCTGTACAATAAATAAAAAAATTAGTTGGGCACAGTGGCATGTACTGTGGTTCCAGCTACTTGGAAGGCTGAGGGGGAAGGATCACCAGAGCCCAGTAGGTCGAGGCTGCAGTGGCCACTCCCGGTCTGGGTGACAAAATGAGACTCCAACTCAAAAAAAAAAAAGATTTTGAAAGCACTTTAATTTAATTTTTTTGATTCTTTTTTATTATAAAGATGTGGGGTACAATTCAGGTTAGGTATACAAACGCTGATTATGCAGGTACCCTTGTTGATGAGGTATGTCCCTCCATCCCCTAGCAGTTTCCCTCAACTGCCAATCCCACCCCCCTCCCCTGACAGTTTCCCACCACTGCTAATCCCTTTCTTGTAGTATTATAATTGTTCAAGGTCCGCTTATGAGTGAGAACATATGGTACTCTGTTCTTTGTTTCTGTGATAGATCACTGAGTATGATCGACTCTAAATCCATGCAAGTGAAAGCACTTTAATTTTAAAGGCTTTGCTACCTTATCAGCAGGCATTTTAAATTCAGAAACCTGTCCTTTGAAACTTACCTTCAGAGCAAAGGCACATCCAACATATGTAACAAAACGTTCTTCCTGAACTGGCATTGGCAGCAACACAGAGACAGACTTCTGTGCCTGTAATAAAAATTACTTGGGTAAATATGATCACACAAGGTTTTTGTTTTTGTTTTTATTGATGAAGGTCTTGCTATGTTGCCCAGGATGAACTCAGACTCAGCCTCTCAATAAAGTTTTTACTAAGCACAATTTCTAAGGGGAAGATACTGATGCACTCAATAAGCTCAGCACACTCAGGGGATGGTGAGTTTAGCACTTGTCTCAATAATCTTGGTCCGAAATGCTCCCAAACAATAGTTCTTTTAAAAAGAGAGCTTACCAGTTATTATTCAGATGTTGGCATTTAGGGTAAATTCAGAAACTCACTCACTTTGAAGAAAATAAGCCAATAAAGACCTGTTCCCACTGTGATGATAAGGAATACGTTAGCCAAATCGCCAGCATAGTACACCAGGAATTTCATTACTGTCTGCAATTTAAAAAAAAGAATTACAGTTAAAGATTAAATCTATAGACCACTTTTATATATCATCCACCCAGTTTCTTAAGTCTGAAGCCTGTTGCATGTAGCCATGTATCACCCAAGTAAGAAGATCAACTGAGTACCCCCACTAGATAACTTCTGGATCCTTACCTTCCAGATCATTCCCAGTAGCCTTTGTCTTTTTCAACCCTTTTCACCCTTCACTACCTAAGAAAGTTGAATTGCTTCCTAATTTTCTCTTAGTTGTGAACTCTCCACTCCAATTTCTCCTCCACACTACACCAGAGAAAGTTTCCTAAAACATAAATTCGATTGTGTCATTCCTCCTCTTAAAAATGTACAACTCCTCACCAAAATTTAAATTCCTGACCCACAAATTTCTTCAAAAAATGGACCAAAATTAACTTTTTAGCCTTACCTGCCAATTCTAGCCACTCAGTCAATGATTAACCACTCCATACTTTCTCTCAGATATTTTGTGAAATAAAATGGGCATTGTTCTACCAAATATTCTTTCCTTCCTCTCTCTGGCAAATCTCATGAGCTCTGAGGACACAGACCATGTCTGTTTTTGCTTACTATCACACCCGCAAGCCCCTGGTAGAGTGCCAGGCACTTAGACAGTAGGGCCACAGTGACTACTGTGAAATGAACAGATAACCCAGCTTAAAGTTCACTTGTCTGGGAAACCTTTCTTGACTATTCCAAGTAGTAAATCAAGCCCCTCTCCTGTGATTCCTTAGCACACTGGCTTTGGAATCAGGAAGATACTTTGGTTAAATATGTTACCATGTAGTCTTTCTCAAGCTTTTCACAAGAAAAATGGAAATACGTATTAGAGTTGTAAAAAAAAAAAAATGAGTAGAAAATCTAATCTCTATCTCAATTTCATCATGTGTAAAATGGGAAGAAGAGAAAGAAGAATACTCACTTCAAAAAGGTATTATGAGGCTTATATGAATTATATACATAAAGCCTGGCACACAGTAAATATGCAATACATGTTAGATTAAAGAGAAAAACAAGAACAATTAAAGAGATTAAATGAGAAGTAAAATTATAAAGTTAAGAGAATAAAATGTGGGAGAATATCTTTGTGATATTTAGCTAGGGAAAGTCTCCTTACACAAGACCCCAAAAGCACATAACATGAAAAATAATTAACATGTGATGATATCAATATTTAAGGTTTCTGTGAAACAAAGGGCCACACAGATAAAAATAACACATGGGCCATTATATTTGGTCATATATTTCAACATCAGAAATCAAAAAGGAACTAATATTAAGAAAAATACAAAAAAGTCCTTCAAATAAACAGGAAAAGTTGAAAACCTATCAAAAAAATGGGCAAGAGATATAAATGGGCAATTCACAGAAGGAGATACCCAAATGCTTAAAAAGGATACTAAGAGTATTCAGAGAAATGAAAATAAAATTACAACGACACACTACTATATACCACAAGAATGGCAAAAAATGGAGACTGGGAGAATAACAAGTATTAGCAAGGATGTGCAGAAACAAGTACAGCACTGCTAATGGGAATGTAGACTGGTATACAGCATTGGGGGAGGAAAAGGAGCTGTGCATATACTTTACGACTCAGCAATATCCAAATACCCATCCTAATTATATGCCCCAGAAAAACTCAAGGCAACTTTCTTACTCATCCTCTAGCTGTGTTTTATGACAAGTATCCAGAGTAGTCAAAAAATAAAAATGCCCTTAAAAAACCGAGATCATACCTGTAAATCAACCATAGGACTCCCAATGCGCCTCTTCCACCCTGCTGTCTTCAAAAGAGATGCTAAAACAGCTAGTCCACCCAACACACCCAAAGCAATCTGACAGAGAGAGGGAGAGAGAGAGAGAGAGAGAAAGAGAACATTTTAGAATTTATGTAATTTCTCTATCAGTGTTCAAAAACACTGTAGGCTGGGAGTGATGGCTCCAGTCTGTAATCCTAGTGCTTTGGAATGCCAAGGCCAGGGGATCCCCTGAGGACAGATGTTCAAGACAAGCCTGGGCAACATAGTGAGATCCCATCTCTACAAAATATTAAACAAATTAGCCAGGCATGATGGTGCGCATCTATAGTTCCAGCTACTCAGGAGTCTGAGGCAGGAAGATCCCTTGAGCCTAGGTGTTCAAAGTAACAATGAGCTATTATCACCACTGCACTCAAGTCTGGGTGACAGAGTGAGTTTCTCTTTAATAAAACAAAAAAAGACAAAAACATTATAAATAGAAAGTAAGAAAGCACTCAAAAAATGGTGGTGGGGCATACTGTAAAGACATAGGAGCCAAGTTGGAGGCCAAATTCCAATAGCCAAATCTTGGACTCTTTTTTTTTTGGAGTCGGGGGTCTCACTCTGTTGTCTAGGCTGGAATTCAGTGCCACAATCACAGCTCACTGCAGTCTTAACCTCCTGGGCTCAGGTGATCCTTCCACCTCAGACTCCAAGTAGCTGGGACTACAGGTGTGTGCCACCACACCTGGCTAATATTTTTTATTTTTTTGGTAAAACAAGATCTTGCTATGTTGCTGGTCTTGAACTCCTAGGCCCAAGAGATCCTCCTGCCTTGGCCTCCCAAAGTGCTGGGATCACAAGTGTGAGCCACACATATAAATCTGGGAAAATTTGAACAAGAAAATAAATAATAATGAGTTATAATCACTAGAATAAAATAACTATCCATGAGTTCATGCTGATCTAAATACATAAATAAATAGATATGAGCAAAGGAGAATTCCTTCTTACAGAAGAGTTCCAATTAGTAAACACAGAAGGAATAAAGGAAACAGAAAATCACCATTGGGCAAATATCATCATAATACTTTTTATAGGCAAAATCATCAATAGATGGTAAAATTAGAGGGAAAAAATGAGAGGTAGGATATTTGCATAATTTCAAAGTATCGCCCCATGAGACAGTCATAAATAACAAACGAAAAAATACAGTGGAGAACTCTACAAACATCATCTTCGCCATATAATCAAAGTTAACATGACCGATAATAAGACATATTCACACCATGTTCTCCTGATGTGAAGCACTGAGAAGGGCACAACATAATCTTCTGGTATCTTTGCCAAAACTACATATAATCAATTGAATCAGGAAAAATACCAGCCAAACTCAAATTTAGAGCCTAAATAACTGACCAATATTTTTCAAAAGTGATTGTGAAAGACAAAAAAAGATGTGAAACTGTCACAGATTATTAAACACTAAGGAGATATGACAGTCAAAAACAATGTGTGATCCTGGATTGGGTCCTGAAAATGAAAAAAAAATTCCATAGTGAAATTCAAATAGTATGTAGAATAGTTAGTAGGACTACATCAATATTAATTTCCTGATTATGATCATTGTACTAAGGTTATGTAAGATGTTAACACTAGGGGAGGCTGAAGGAACAGTATATGGCAAATCTATTTTAGCAACTTTCCTGTACATCTGAAATTGGTTTTTCTATTAAAAAATACTATTTTTTCATTAAAAAAAATTTAACAGGTTAAAATAAACTCACATCTGTCTGGACATGTGCTTCTCCATGATTCATTTCATACTTGACTGAGAAAGAGACCTGATATTTAAAAGAAGACAAATTAACCAGACTGAAATTATACAATACAAACGTACCTTTATTATAAAAATATTTTGTAGCTGGATTTTATCATAACCACTATTTTTAAACTACCAATACTACTAGAGTGGATTCTTACTTACACATAAATAAAAATGCTTCTGAGCATTATTCTTGTTGCTTTAGATATCTCCTCTGAACATACATTAAGAGAGGGGCTCATTCAGAGCTAAGACATTCTCAATAGCAGAAGTTCAAGCCACTAATCATGTTTTATTTTCTGACAGGTTTCCATAACTGAGGAATGTGACTAAACTTGTATATCAAGAATTTAGCAACTGGCTGAACAAGCATACCCTAAGAAAACCAATTAATCAAAGGTCTGAACAAAATCTTAGGGTTACTACTATATTAAGAGACAAGAGGAAGAAGAACCAGTAAAGAGTAGGACAAGAGGACTGTGATGGGTAGGAGAGGCAAGATACCTAAGTCTTACCATGGTCATAGAAAAAAAAGTTTGAAGAAGAAAGAGGTCAGGAGCACAGTGAAAAATGTAAAAAAATGTCATGGTAAAGAAATTAAGCCACTATATATGAGGAATTCATTGCTGACCTTCATGAAAGAGGTTTTCAAAGAAGTAAAATGGCAAGAGCCAGACTATCAATGACGGAGTAAATGGTTGGGAATGAAGAAAAAGGATACAATGGCAAGCTGAAGAGCTGGAAGAATTGAGTAAAAATTCTTGTTTGGTTGGTTATTTTAGTTTGTTTTCTAAATGAGGCAACCTGAGAGTTTTATAAGCAGAGAGGCTGGCTGAATAAGAGCTTAGGAATGAAGGAGGACATTGGAGATAGTACTGTAAACTAGTTTAGGTGTAAGATTAGCTTAAGATGGAAGAAGGGAACATTTTTTCTTAGAAATAGGAACAACAAATGGGAAAAATATCGAAACAGATTCTGAAGTAGTAAAGAGGAAATCTGAAGGAATTCATATTAGATGGCTTTCATCTGGTCAGTAATAGAAAGCAAGGTTATTTGCTGTTGGTAAGAAAGCAGAAACATAGTTGGATACTTAAAAGTGATGTCGAATTCTGCAACAGCTACCAAGAGAAATAAAGAAATGATGAAAGAAGTATATATCTTATAATTGGAATGAATTTGAGGTAGACTTTATTAGTGTAGTTTCATGACTCAACTCCTTTTCTATTTGTTATTTTCACTTATCAAGGTTTAGTTTGCAATATTTTAGATAAGAATAATATTTAAAGACCCAGAAGTGTTTATATTAAAGTAACTATACTCTTGGTTATCTATGAATAGCACTCCAGGAAGTTTTAAACCAGGCAGCTTTATGTTGTTACTAAGCATGTTTCTGCATTTTCTTCTCTTCTCATTATAGAGAATAAAGCTCAGTCAATGGAAACTAATTTGAATATTGCATTAGGTAATACAAATGAGGGTGGGAAATCTTTAAATTAATTCAAATTAAAGTTTGATTCCAATAGCATCTGAGTACAAGTACAAGCACAAGAGGGAGGTCAAAAGCACTGATTGAAGGAACTAAAATATATAAATTCAGAAAAGTAAAACAAATGAAAAGCGATTAGTAAGCTTGGAGGTAAAGAATGCTCATTCTCTACTTCTCATGTTTTCAGAGAAGGAGCAGGATATACACTTAATCTCTAGAAGGCAAAAGTACAGAAGGATTGCTTCTGGTTTTCATCTCTATCCCTCTCATTTACTCTTCCCCAAAGCAGGGATGTTTCATCTGACTGGTGAGTTTGGTAGGAGGAACTCAAATGCTTGACTTAGCCTTTTCCAGACTCATCTTTTGTATAGCCGAAGAGGTCTCTCACTTCTATCCACAGGGCCTCTCAGATGAGTCCTTTAGTTTTGCAGTCAAATTTAACTGAGTTCAGGAAGTAGTGGGAAGCCTATCTGGCTGCAAGTCCAAACAACATTCTCTAGTTCACATTTGCACTACTAGTTATGAAGCTGACAACTTTCAACTCTTTCTTCCTGCTTAAGTGTGTCTCTATTGCTACATATTGGTGAGTACACATATGTCCACTGTACGTCTGAGGTGCCAGCTTATTTAGGCAAGGAGACAAAATCTTAACACAAGCAAGGTGACCAAAAAGAACAGAAGCAGATGCTGCATATCTCAGCATATCCCAGGATCCCTAACAAGGATGTTCAAAGGCTGGTAATACTTCTACTGAAAAATTTATTTTTGCTTTTTTATGCTCTGGATTCAGAAGAAATCACCTCTTGCCATTATTAATAAATAATAATTACATGACTCTATTATATTCACAAAGCTAAAATTAAAAAAATAAAGACCTGACTATATAAAAAGAAAGATTTGTTTAAAACTTGAAAAAAAACCACTGTCTTTTGGCCATAATGTAAACTACATCAATTTTATATGGCACTTATACATATAAGGGCACTGATTAGTAAAGAAGTAAACTCACCATCACAGATTGGCTGCTGGGGTCTTTGATATCAATGTCACTGTAGGCAATGGTGATTAAGGGAGGGTATACGTTTCCATTTTTTGTGCTGGGTACAAGGTGGATGCTATTTAAGAGAAAAAATATGTTGATAGCATTAAGTATATCTAGGTCCTTAAACATATATTTAATTTATCAATTCTTTTTTTTTTTTTTAAGAAATAAGGTTTCAGCCGGGCTTGGTGGCTCGGCCTGATAATCCCTCGCTTGAGGAGGCTGAGGTGAGTGGATTGCCTGAGCCCGTGGGTTCGAGACCCGCCTGGGCAACTTGGCAAGACCTCATCTCTACAATAAATCAAAAAAATTAGCTGGGCGTGGTAGCACGCGCCTGTAGTTCCAGGTACCTGGAAGGCTGAGGCGGAAGGATCACTGGAGCCCAGCAGGTCGATACCGGGGTGGCCAGGAGTGTGCATTCCACTGCACTCTAGCCTGGGCAACAGGGTGAGATTCCAACTCAAAAAAAAAAAAGAAAGAAACAAGGTCTCATTCTGTCACTCAGGCTGAAGTGTAAGGGGCCATTAACGCTCATTGTAACCTTGTAACCTTGAACTCCTTGGCTCAAGTCATCCTTCTGCCTCAGCCTCCTGTGTAGCTGGGACTATAGGTATGCACTACCATGCTTGGCTTTTTTTTTTTTTTGGAGAAACAGGGTCTTGATATGTTGCCCAGGTTGGTCTTGATCTATGGGCTCAAGGCATCCTTGTGCCTCAGTCTCCCAAAGTGCTGGGATTATAGGCATTAGCCAAATTTACTTTTGAATTTAATATGAATTGCTTTGATGATCTCAGAACTAACCATTCAATAAGGGTTAAGGGAAGGCTAAACATAAACTAATTATAACGACACAAGCTATCTTAAGTGATCAAAACTTTAACATTAAAATATACTTTTTGAGACAAATGAGAAACTCTTTGGATTGAGGTTCTATGAAGTTTATAGATGAAATTACTAAAGCATTATGAACCATCTTTGAGGAATAATCAAAAGTGCAATGCTACATGAGGCCTAAAGAAAGGCAGACAAGATCATGATTTTCAAAAAACAAATATGAATTATTAACAAAATAATATGTGTCAGATCTAATACTATATGTGGCAGATAGTGGAACACATTTTTCCAAATTCAATGCATTAGTACTGGATAGTTTGTTAATTTAAAAAAGGAACGTGCCAATCATTGGGGGCCAGCATGGTTTCATCAAGAACAGGTCAAGCCTGACTAGGTTCAATTTTTTTATTACTAGGGATAATACGTTAGCAGATTCACAGAATGCTAAAAACACAGTACATTTGTATTTCAGCAAGATAAATGATAAAGTTTCTGTACTGCCTACCTTATAACATTATAAGAGTCAAAATGAAATAACTAAAAAAAAATGTAAATATAAGTGCTTAAAAGTATCAAACTAGTGTAAGATGATAATGTTGATTGTCATCAGTGTATTCAAGGTAAACATCATAAAATTCTATACTGAAAAAGTCAGTTAAGATCTTAAAGATCTCACACTGCACAAGATAGCATGGTACTATCCTAGGGAGGGTCAGAGTTAGGGTATCCTAGGAAGAGGGAGGTGTTGATAATTGATCTAGATGAACCTAGAACAAAAGCCATAAAGGGAAGTGAGGACAGGGAGACCTAACTATTAGCAACCATCTGGAAGTCTCCTTCTGAAACACCAGTTTCAGCTCACTGGTGTTCACCTTCCTTACGCCTCTCAACCCATTCTAATGCAGTAGGTCTACAGTGGGTCCTAGAATGTGAATTCTGACCAAACTCCTCACAGTCTTCTGATAGAATTCCCCTCTTAGCTCTTCATTTTTATTAGTCTATGCCAATCAACAAGATATCTAAAAACACCTTACCAACTGTTCCAAGTCAGTTATCCTTATTGTTTGTATCTGATAATTATTGGCAAACACTTTCATTATAAGTTTTCCCATGTACTTCAACCTAAAGGTCATTAGATATCTGTTTACCTCAGCGATATTTGGGTAGCAACTCGAATTACTTTTGGTTGACTTCCTAAGTCATTTTCTCGTCCACTTACTGCATCCACTAAGAAAATGCGCCGAGTCAGAAGCCACTTTACAGAGCTACTGTCTTTCATCATAAAAAGAAACAAAAACAGCATTAAAAGAACGCCTCAAATGATTCAAGATGGTTCTCAAGAAGTTTACTGAACAAATTTACAACACAAAATTATTATTCTATTTTAGATAAGATGGCTGCAAAGAGCTACTGCTATAAAAAAACTCTCTGATAATGGCCTTCTCCACCTCACTTGAATGTCTTCTTATTGTTAGAATTTTTCATCAGTTTGGAAGCTTTTCTCTGCAAATTGCCTTTGAAAGTAGGATTTTCATAACTTGAGTAACAATAAAAGAAAGTAATTTGTCCAAACAAATTTGTCCAAAAAAGTAGATCAAGGACAGCTTGAAGAAAAAGCCCCAATTTCCAGCTCTACTAATTTTTCTCAGGATGTACTGTTAGCAATAGTATAATTTCTTACAATATGCCTGACAATAGAATTAGTTAAAATTTCTACATACACAAGCAAAATTTTTTTAATTTTTTGGCATGCTGTATCAAATCATTCATGAACTTTCCTTTTTTTTTTTTTTTTTTTTTGGCGTGGTGGTGTGTGCCTGCAGTTCCAGCTATTTGGAACCTTTTTTTTAAAAAATAGAGATGATGTCTCACCATGTTGCCCAGGCTAGTCTTGAACTCTGGGTCTCAAGCAATCCTCCCATCTCAGCCTCCCAAAGTGCTGAGATTACAGGTATAAGCCACCATGCCTGGCCAACCTTTCTTAAGCTCAAAGGTTTTATTAAATTATCGTGTTAGTTGACTTATTTATTAATTTCAGCTCAGAGAGAGAAGTATGGGTCAATACCTTACCTTGGTTTACAAATATTTTATTGTGTTGAAGATTTAGATTTAACACAGGCACAGCCCAAATATATTCATGTTCATTCTCATCAGTATATTCAAGGTACACATCATAAAATATAGGAGAGGGAAAGTCGGTTAAGATCTTAGAGATAGGAATCTCACACTAGAAAATAAAAGTAAAAATAAAAGCATCACAATTGAAAATTAGAAAGCACATTTATTATCTTTAAGAGTGTCTTCTTAGTTTTACAGTATAAATATATCCTTAAACTATCTTGTTTCTATGCATATTCACATTCCTTCCAAAACATAAATAATGTAAACATGCTTCTTTTATAAGGGCCAAAAACCTAACAGTAAAGAACTGTTGGGCTGGGTGCTGCAGCTCATGCCTGTAACCTCAGCACTTTGGGAGGTCAAGGTGGGAGGACCACTTGAGTTAGAGACCAGCCTGGGCAACATAGCAGGACCTCATCTCTACAAAAAAAAAAAATAGCCAGACATGGTGGCACATGCCTGTAGTCCCAACTACTTGGGAGGCTGAAGCAGGAGGATCAATGGAACCCAGGAACCTGAGGCTGCAGTGAGCTCTACTTGCATCAGGCACTCCAGCCTGGGTGACAGAGCAAGGTCCTCTTCCTCCAACACCCCTCCCCCCAAAAAAAGAACTGCTTTGTTCTTGACCTACAACATAGAAGGAGAAGGTATGCCTTCATTCTCAATATTAAGTGCTCATCAGCAAAAAGATTTAAAAACCACTGTCCTTCTTTCTCCTGATATACAATGATGTTTATGATCTGGCTTCCCTTATCAGAAACAGGCTTCTCTCTCACTGCTTCCTACCAGTCTATGGTGGTCCATACATGCTATCTACTGCAGTTCTATGTCTGACATTGCAAATGTGGTTTCTGCCTGACATGTCAGTCCCCACTGTGTTCTCATCATACAAATCCAAGTATTACTTCCTCTATGAACCCTTTCTGCACTTCTCCAGGTGCCTTGTACATACCAACAGAACAATACTTATCACATTTTTGCAATTCTTTGTATAGCCATTTTGACTACAAGGCTGTGAACACTTAAGAAGCAGTCAGGTTCAGTGAAAAAACCATGTGTTTTAAACTTAACAGAACATTGATTCTAGAGTTTACCTGATATGAGAAATCTTAGTGGGCACAAGCTCATCTCACTGGGCACAATTTCCTCATCTATGAAGCATAGATAGTATATATCTCACATAACTATTTTATGTATCAAATGGATAACAATGATAAAATGCTGAGCACACAGCAGCAAGTATTTAACAAGTGTTGATCTTGGCCCATGTTAAGGTACACAATCACATTTATTTAAAAAAAAACTTATAAATCAATTCTGACAAAATAAGTAAATTCATGTTCATAGTAGAAAGTTTTGAAACTATAAAAAAGAAAAAAATACTCTAATCCCACTATCCAGAGATAATCACTGTTAGAAATGTTTATTTTCTTCCCATTTGTTTTTCATAATGATATTTTTCAGTGTGTGTTGTATGGGGGTGGGTTTAATCAGGGTCTCACTCTGTCAGTCTCAAGTAGCTAGAACTATAGGCATGCACCACCATATCCAACTAATTTTTTGATTTTTTTTTGTAGTGACGAGGTCTTACTATGCTGTCTAGGCTGGTATCGAAATCTTGGGCTCAACCAATCCTCCTGCCTCACTCAGCCTCCCAAAGTGCTGGGATTACAGGTGTAAGTAATCCCATATCTGGCCTCATTATGGTTTTGTTCTATGATGTGTTTATATAAATTTTATCAAGAAGCATTTTTAGTCTGGGCACAATGGCTCACACCTGTAATCTCAGCACTTTGGGGGCCAAGGTGGGTGGGTTGCTAGAGACCAGGAGTTCAAGACCAGACTAGGCAACAAATCAAGACATATCTCTACATAAAAATATTTTTTTAAACAGAAACCCTTTTATAAACTATTGAATGTCTTTCAAATATTTCATGGCTTATAATATTCCTTTGTACCATATTGTAAATTTAAAGTGAGTTACCAAAGTAACAAAAGTCAGGACGGACAGGAAGGAGAGAGCAAAGCATGAAAAGAGAAAAAAAAGGAAAGCATTTTTATTTGTTATTGGAGGTAGAATGAGAAGGGAGTCATATTTTTATTAATCACTAAAAATAAAGTAATATTTTTTCTTTATTCCAAAATGCTCAGAAATAGGCGTTGTTTTTAGAGACTTATAAGCCTAGAAGTAAACAATTGATTATGAAAAGCTAACATTATACAATGTTTAAGACTCTATGAATGCCAGGCACAGTGGCTCAAGCCTATAATCCCAGCACTTTGGGAGGCTGAGGCGAGAGGATTGCCTGAGTCCAGGGGTTCGAGACTAGCCTGAGCAACACGGCAAGACCTTGTCTCTACAATCAATCAAAAAATTAGCCAGGTGTGGTAGCGTGCGCCTATAGTTCCAGCTACTTGGAAGGCTGAGGCAGAAGGATTGCCTGAGCCTGGTTGTTCGAGGCTGTGGTGGCAGTGAGCGTACCACTGTACTCCAGCCTGGGTGACAGAGTGAGACTCCAACTCAAAAGATTAAAAAAAAAAAAAAAAAAAGACTTTATGAATGACAAGGGAATCTTTACATCAATTAAGTTAAATTTTTTTTGTGCCCAGAGATGTAAAAACTGTATTAGTTAATGAAATTATTCATTCCTATTTAAAACATTTCCAATTTCAAAAATTCAAAGATTACTCCAATTATTGCTGATGTGATAATCTTTAAAATGAAGCTAAAATATAGACTCACATGCTTCAAACTTACATTTTGTTGATAGGTTGTTCCAAAAGAATAAGCAGCATTTAGCCTTGTCTCTGTGTCTGGACAAAGCTACAGCAAAAGAATACAACTGATCAATATCTCTCACAAACATTTTTTTCACTTATACTCAAGAGTTCTCAAGCCCCAACAGGCACATATGCTCTATCTAATACTTATTTAATATTTCAGAAATATGAAAAGTGAAGGGAACATTTTTCTTATAAATTAAAGTCATAATGTAAAAAGCAATTTGAAGAAATTCCAATTTAAGGCACCAGAAAAAAATCAACTGTATTATGTAACATGCTCTATTCAAGCAATGATCTAGTTTTTGCCCCCTGTCTTTGCTTCAGGCAAAAATAAGGCCCATAACTAATTCTTTGGCTACAATCATGCTCACCTGTAAAACACCTCCTTCTAAACTTTGCCACTTGAGAAAATTTCCTCTTATATCATAGGAAGCAGCAACAAACTTCAGTTTTGTATTCTTATTAAAGAAACAAAAATAAAACATGTCAAGTACTCTGAAAGTAACATAATATTCTATACAGAAATTTTCATTGTTGATTGACCCTTTATTTACATTGCTGACCAACCTGTTTTGTTGAAAAATTAAATTCAACTGTTTTGAATCCTACTATCTCTAGGATTAAATACATCTAAAAGCATACCTCATCAACAAGTGCACCTGCATAATGAACATTTGCACACCTAACCCTGAATTGTACCTTACATCTTCAAAATAAAAAAATTAAAAGATTTATAAAATTACATCTAAAAGAACTGGACTGGTTTTTTGCGTGGCAATTATTATTTTAGAATTAAGAGGTAGCACTTGTGACAGATATCCTCCTTTCAAATCTCTCATATGGAGAATGGGATGGGGAATGATCTTATTCCTTCATTCTAGAAGGTCAAAAAGTTAGAGGTGGTAACTTGGACCTGAAAGTGCTGGGCAATGTCATAGAGCCATGGAGGCCTGCCTCCCGACAAAGTCCAGGGGGCTGAAGACCCCGGGTTGCAAAGCAAACCTGGGCAGCTGAACCCTTGCTTGCTCTACTTTTGTTATTAATGCAGCCAAAAGTTCTGTACAGTCTGAGGATGGAAAGCAAAATTCCACTCACACCTCCATTACCCCTTGCAAAAAGGCAAGAGGGGAATTCATGAGAAAATTACCTTTCCTTCATTTGAACTCCTCCCTAGGTTTCCACGTCCCTGGTCTCCTGGTATTAGATCATGCAATCACTTGATTAAACATTGTAGTTGGGAAAATTGTGAAAAATCAGAAGGTGCTCGATTTAATGTTTGTCAGGGAACTCACTGGCCTTGCCAGGAAATTATCAATAGAGATTTTAAATATTATGTGTGGGGATAATCACTTGTAAGATTTTATTTCTTCTGATTGGCGACTAATTGGAGAAATTTGGGAAGCTACAGTTTGTATTTTTAGGAAGAGTGCCAATGCAAAAATTACTTTTACTTAATTTCTACATGTGGTATATTATGCTTAGGAGATTAGCAATCACATAAATATTAGAGGACTTCATGTTATTCAGACTAAGTTTTTAACATAGAGTTAAGGGCATAAAGTTAAGATTATAGATTTTTAAGCATAAGAAAATACAAAGCAGGTTTCATGATATGAGTGTGTTACGTTAATCATTAGCAATGAGTTAATAGGCTTTAAGGATAGAAAATAATTATAGAAAAAGCTTAAGACACATGTTCTTTGTTAAGAATAAATAACCATTGTAGAATAGCCTTGAGAAATGGGTCTTTTAAGAATCTAAGGAGTAGCCAGGCTCAGTGGCTCAGCCTGTAATCCCGCATCTTTGGGAGGCTGAGGTGAGTGGATTGCCTGAGCCCGCGGGTTCGAGACCCGCCTGTGCAGCGAGACCTCATCTCTACAATAAATCAAAAAATTAGCCAGGCGTGGTAGCACATGGCTGTAATTCCGGCTACTCGGAAGGCTAAGGTGGAAGGATTGCCGGAGCCCAGCAGGTCAAGGCTGCGGTGGCCGGAAGCGGCCGCTGCACTCCAGTCTGGGCGACAGAGTGAGACTTCAACTCAAAAAAAAAAAAAAAAAAAAAAGAATCTAAGGAGTTAGAAAGTTAGAATATACAAAATGGTCAAGAAAATAGATAACAGCTAAAAATTAAGGGAACAAAGTAGGAGTTATGCTTAAGGGCAAAACGGGATGCTTTGTAGATCATAAGACAGTGATATCTTTAAAAAAGATATCTGTATATGAGGGAATTCACATCAGAGTGGCTTTAAGAAAAACATCACGTATGAGTTACTTGCTCTGTTCTTTGTCTTAAGCAAGGTTACTAACTGTTCTGATGCTAAGAATTTTTCAAAGACTACTTCTTTGTAAAAAAAAAGTATATAATCTGGATATGAACTAACAATAAAGGGCATTTGTCCTGCTTGCAGCAGAGTCAGGTGTCCCAAGTTTTTTGTTCTTTTGCCAACTCCATCTCTCCTTCGGGAAACCCTGGTCTGCAGGAGCTGGCCTCCCGCACTAGTCAATCTTTGGAAACACTTCTATAAAACTCAGACTGTGATCGTATTGTATTTGGTGATAAAAACTACTCTTCCCAGCCCCCTAAGTACTGCTTGCTTTTGTATCTACATAATCCAGAGGTATTCATATATTCAAATTCCTACAAGTAGTTTATATTTACATTTAGTGTAGCAACTACATTTGTAACACAACCTAAAAAAGCAATTGTGACTTATAACTTTATTACCTTTTAAAATAGTATATCAAAATGTAGTTATTCTCAAATAACTCTACATAACTATTAAAGACTTGTACCTGGTTTTCCCCTTTAAAACTGAAATTTGTAGGAAGAGGGGTAGAACTGAGTACTTGAGGTGCTAATCCTAGTTGGTCTCCATAAAACAGCCATGGAAGATTCTGTCTCCTATAAACAATTAAAATTGTCTTAATAATGGAGAAGAAATATTTATTATTCATATTTGTGACTATAACTAAACATGAATTCAATCAAAATAATATTAAACTAATAACAATATCCTTACCAAAATGAAATAGAATGAACAGTGCTCAGTCCAGCAGTATTTTCAAAGATGAACTGAAACAGTTTACATGCATCAAATGTGGCAGAGTCATAAGAATTCATGTTCATCACACACATATTTCCAAGAGCTTGGCAAGATGTTAGATTGGCATACACCTACAAAAGAACAATGGCAAAGGAATGTACATGGACCTAACAGCTTAAGCAAAAGTTGATATAAAAATTATGATTTCTTTTAATTTTACCTATTCTACTCTTTCCTTTTTTTTTTTTTTTTTTTAATTCTTTGGCTTTTAAACTCTTTCCTCTACCTTAAGTAGAAAATGAGCTTTCCATAGGGGAAGAGAAATAATGAGTACATTTTAATTATACATTTTAGGCTAAAATCTAAAGACAAGCATTGAAAGAACTAAGTAAAAACTCACTGCATGACACTGCAAAAACCATTAAGTAGAATATTTATATTTGAAATAATAATTTGATTGTATATTAGATCTTATACATATAAATCTAATTTTCTATGATTTAAGTAATTTGTTTTATGAACAGCAAAATGAACTAATTTGTTGAGTTCGCCTTTCAACTTTCTCAATTTTCCCTATCAGGAAAAGGCAATTCCATTTTTATAGTTATTTAAGTAAAAAACTTTGAACTTTTCTCTCTCCTCATATCCAGCTCATTAGAAAATCCTGTTGGCACAATCTTCAAAGTATATCTAAAAGCTAAAAGCTTCCCTCATTTCTATGGTTCTATCCTTGGCCACCGTTCTCTCTCACTCAGATAACTCTAATACCTCCTCAGTGGTCTGTCTTTACCCCCATCAAATTCTATCTTCCAGGCTATAGTGATCCTTTCAAAATCTATCATGACTTCCTCTGCACAAAATCCTTCTATCTCCCTCAAGTTAAGCCTCAGGTCCTCACCACAGCCACTCTCTATATCCCTGATTCTATCTTTTCTCCACTCTCCCTGCTCACTCTACTCCAATCACTGTGGCCTCCTTCCTATCTCATAAGCGTGAATAAGCCAGTGAACTCCTGCTTTGGGACCTTTGCTCTGCTACTGTCTCTACTTAGAACACTCCTGCCCTAGATATTTACATGACTCGCTTTTACTTTTTTCAGGTCTTTGCCCAAATATCACTCTCTCAGACATGCCTGTCCTGAATATTCTACATAAAAGAGCAACCCTCACATTCTCCATGTTCTTTACCCTGAGTTATTTGACTCTGTATACATAGCACAACCTAACATTTACTTCAACTGTAATTCCACAAGGGATTTTCTTTCTGTCTTTTTCTGAAATATCTAACCTGATTTGAGAATTGAGCCTGGCACACAGTAGGTCATCAATAAACATTTACTAAATGACAGTTTCCACTAACTCAATTTTAGCTAAAAAAGCTTGGAGACATTTGGCCAGGCGTAGTAGCTCATGCCTATAATCCCAGCAATTTGGGAGGTCAAGGTGAGAGAAATGCCTGAGCCCATGGGTTCAAGACCAGCCTGGGCAACTTGACGAGACTGCATCTCTACAAGAAATCAAAAAAATTAGCCGGGCATGGTGCTACGTGCCTGTGGTTCCAGCTACTTGGAAGGTTGAGACAGAAGGATCACCTGAGCCGAGCAGGTCGAGGCTGTGGTGGCTGTGAGCATGCCACTGCACTCCAGCCTGGGCAACAGAGTGAGACTCCAACTACAAAAAAAAAAAAAAAAAAACAAAACCAAAAGTTTGGAGACATTCAATTTGTGAATCGTGAATGACATTTTCTCTATGAATTCTCTTTTAATCTACTAGAAAGGGTTTATTTTTCTTATAGAATATGATTAAGGTAATATATCTACTTAGAAAACTTATTATTTGGGTAAAAAATGATATTATAATTCTTCAAAATAAAATGAAATTTTAAAAAACTTCAAACTTACCAAACATGCAATTGCTGATGATTGCAAATACTTCCCAAACCACTCCGAAGTTAAAGACATGCCCTGAAAACAACATAAATTTTATCCTTAAGTTCAAATGAAGATTCTGAACCCCACACTGTTAGGACAACCTTAATATGTATATTGCTGGATGAGAAATGTCTAATGTTACTATCTCAATGTTAGTAGAAAAACAGATTCTAACAGGAATATAAGAATTTTAACCAATGTCAGTTATTACAAATAGGACTACAGTACAAAACAATGACACTTATGCAAAAGACATAAGGAAACAAAATGTCTATAATCCAAAAATACAATGTGCCCATTTCACTAATACAAAAAACAAGGAGGAAAAAAAAGAAAAATAATAGATTTTCTCTTAGTATTGAGTGGTTAACATTTGCTGATTTAGGATTATTATAAATATTGTATTAAGTTGGCAAGTAATAAAAAAAATTAGGGGAATGATTTCAAATCTCCCAAGTGGTGCTTCTCAAACAATGGTGGGCATCGCAATCACCTGTGGGCATCACAAATCAAAACAAATCAGAATCTCCAGATGACACCAGGACGTATGTGGGTTCTGAAAGTTGTAGATACAAACTTCTGATTAAGAACCACTGCTTTAGCTAGGTGCAGTGGCTCACGTTTGTAATCCCAGCACTTTGGGAGGCAGAGGTGAGAGGGCTGCCTGAGCCTACGGGTTAGAGACCAGCCTGGGCAACATGGTAAGATCCCATCTCTATAATAAATCATAAAAATTAGCCAGGTGTGGTGGCACATGCCTGAAGTTCCAGCTACTTGGAAGGCTGAAGTAGAAGGATCATCTGAGCCTAGCATGTCAAGGCTGCGGTGGCCATGAGCATGCCACTGCACTCCAACCTGGGCAAAAGAGTGAGACTCTGACTCAAAAAAAGAGAACCACTGCTTTAATGCTTGTTTGCACATCTTGCTGATATATGAGAAACTGAGAAGCACCATTTAGAATTAATTGTCTGGACACACAAAGAAGAGACAAAACTGAATTATATGGACCATGGCACCACAGCTATCAGAAAAATATAAAATAAAATTATTAGGTGCTATCTTAATCTCTTCAATAAGCAAAAATTATCATTTTATAGGAAAAAAATATACACACAGAATAAGGTTGAAGGCCAGGCACAGTGGATCACGCCTGCAATCCCAGCATTTTGGGAGGCTAAGGTGGGAGGATTGCTTGAGTCCAGGACTTCAAGACCAGCCTAGGCAACATAGTGAGACCTCTTGTCTCAACAAGAACTCAAAAAATAAGCCAGGCATGGTAGCTCATGCCTGTAGTCCCAGGAGGTACTCAGGAGGCTGAGGCAGAAGGATCATCTGAGCCCAGGAGGTTGAGCCTGTAGTGAGATGTGATTACGCCACTGCACTCCAGCCAGAACAACAGAGTAAGACTGAGACACCACAAAAAAGGTTGAAGAACACACAAAAACTGGTAAAAATAGAAAGCAATGGCACCAGTTACTAACAAAAAAAGAATGTACAATGGACCCATGTACAATGCCAGTGAGAGTGTAAAAGTTGCACAATACTTTTATAAAGCAATATCCACATACTCTAACCAAGAAATGTAGAAAAACTTAGGAAATTTATCTTGAGGTATAATCCCTTCAAATGGGAAAACACATCTATGTGCAAAAAATTGTTGACAACAATATTATTAATAACTGAAAACCATTGAAAGTACGATTATATCAATTTCAGTGCACAAACTAGAATATTATGTAACTATTAAAAATCATAATTATGTATGGTGAGCCTGGAACATGGCATGGAGAAACCATGGAAAAAAGTCTAAGAAAGTCATGTCAAAACAACACAGGAGCTATCTTGAAGGGAAGTACAAATTTGGTATAACTTGAAGTTCAAAAAGGAGAAAAACAGTAACAGATTATAACAATGAATAAACAAAGATTCCATGAGTTTACAATATAGCTTAAAAAAAAAGGAAAGTGTTCTTTACAAAAGATGGAATAACAGAATTCAGCCAAAATTAATCAGTGGATGCTAAAATGGATATTTACATAGTCTCAAAGTAAAAATGCAGACTGATTTATTAATCACAGTACCTTTACAATGGAGAGAAGTAGCAGTCACAGTCATGACCAAGCAAACAAATATAACATCACCAATAATTGGAGAACCTACCATTATGCACTCCTTGGTCTATGAACTCATTTGTTTTACTATATATACACAGATAAACACAGAAATAGCTATAGATGTGTATATGTATAAAAGCATGTACATATATTCCTTAGCTATGTCTGCTGAGAGGACATACTCAGTGTGATAATCTTGGTTTCTAAATATTATTCTCCAGAACTTTTTAGGAAAATGTTGATTCTGAAGCTGAGGCAGGAAAACTACAACATGAGTCTAGAAAACTTGTGCTCAAAGAATAATGGGGAAATGTTGAAAAATAAAACCACAGGCACCAACTTGAAGGGACCTGCCCAAATCTAGGATAATTTAAGCATTAAAACAAATAAAGGGCAGCAGTCAACAGACACTCTTACTGTTGTCTTGTCCGTTGTGCCCTTCACAATGTATCTTACCTTTAATAAATCTACCTTTCTCACTCTGTAAAAAAAGAAACAAAAAAAAACAAAAACAAATAATGAAGGCAGGGTGCAGTGGTTCATGCCTGTAATCTCCACACTTGGGGAGGCCACGGCAGAAGGATCACTTGAGGCCAGGAGTTCAAGACTAATCTGTACAACATAGTGAAACTCCCATCTCTAAAAAAAGAAAATAAGCCAGATGCGGTGGCTCACATCTGTAATTCCAGCACTTAGGGAGGCCAAGGTGAGAGGATTGCCTGAGCCCAGGTGTTCGAGACCGGTCTGGGCAACACAGCAAGACCATGTCTCTAAAATAAATTAAAAATTAGCTGGGCATGATGGCACACGCCTGTAGTCACAGCTACTTGGAAGGCTGAGGTGGAAGAATTACCTGAGATCAGCAGGTCAAGCCTGTGGTAGCCATGACCGTATCACTGTACTCCAGCCTGGATGACAGAGTGAGACTGACTCAAAACATAAAATGAAAATTAATAAAAAGAAAAAAAAACAAATAATGAGTGTATTAGATTATAACCAATTGAATCAAATAGGAACCCACAAATCCTTATTGATAATAAAAAGTATATATGAATGGGGAGAAGAAAAAGTTCTTCCTTACAATACGATGTCAATTAAAAAATGTGAAAGGAAATCAAAAATTAATCTTTGGCAACCAGTAGTGGTGGATAAAGGCAAGCATCCTCAATGGAGACTAAAGCCAGTAAGTTAAGGGTCTGTGAGAAATAGGAAATGTAATCTTAGAAATGTTCCTCACAAAATACTAAACAATTACAAATGGAAAATGGTAACTTTATGGTAGTCACAGTGACTTTAGGGCAAGTGATCAAGGTTAACAGTATCAGTGACATTGTGTGTCCCCTGATGGGATGCAACACACTGAGAAAAGTATGACACTTCTTTTGTGGCTTTCAACCAAGCATTTATTGAATATGAGGAAAGACTGGATGGAGACAGTTAGAGCCAAATATAGCGGGTAAGGCCTCTCATCTTCAAAACTTTCATTCAGGAAAGACTAAGGACTTTTTCCAGGTAGAAGGCGACTAAAGGGACATGACCTCTAAAGGACTGAGACTCTCCAACCAGATAGGAAAATCTGATATTGTTGCGACTTTTCAAATAATTATTTCAACTTAAATTATTCACAAAACGAAAAAAAGAAAATTAAAGGCATGCACATTTGATCATCATATACAGACATTCACTATAATTTGAGACTGGGGAAGAATGTCCCAGAAGACATGCATTGTTACAGATGAGACAATGTTTGGATAATCTCAGAGCTCTCTGTGCATACTCTATTTTAGCATTTATTTTGCTGTCTTGCAACTATTTGATATTTGCCTGTCACCCTCACAAGACTACACCAGAGGAATTTCTGCCTTCTTCATCAAGATCCCAGAGTCCACCCTCATCATTGCTATTCTCACAGCCCTCCTAGTTACTACTACTTATTCAATAATAATATTAACAACCAGATCACAGCCTGTCCACTCCAAGCTCTGCTGGCACACTGGATCTCTTCAGTTAGTCTAACTCTTAGTTAGTCATCTAACTCCTACTTGGATTTGTAATTCATCCACTTCCCATTTTATAACCTATAACTTGTAATCGCCAGCATCTGCTGCAAAAGGCCTCAATGCTCTCATCTATAAACTAAGGAACATGGCTACAAAAGAGTAATTCTGGTATCTCTAATGTTTACCATGTACAAGCAGTATGACATAGGTATTATTATTATTATATCCAAATTATAGACTATAAACTGAAGCTTTAAAAGTTAAGTAACTTTCCCAAGGCCCAAGGATACAAAACTAATGACTGGCAAATCAGGAATTCAAATCTAGAGTGCCTGGTGCTCTTAACTGTATTATGTTACATATTTTATTGGACATATATAGGACATTTCCAGCTTAAACATTCTTCAATTCAATGAAAAAGGAATAGGCTAAGGCATAGAATGAATACTGTACTTATAAGTTATTATGCTAAATTACTGGACCAATGTTTCTTAGATTGGTAATTTTTCTATTTTAAAGTAATTTACACAAAAATGTTTCTGATTTTAGCCCCAAATTAATTACTAAATGATGAAATAAAGACAGTTCCTTAACAACAAAACAAAAATTCTGAAACATACTTACAAGCTCTCCATAACGTGCAATTGAGATTCTACGTGGAAGAAAATTTCCTGTGCTGCTGAAACACAATCCTCCTGTCTTCATAAACAAATAAGAAAAAAAAATACCTAGTTTATAAAAAGGTATAAGCAATTGAACTAAAATATTTATACTTTACCAATTTGATTAGCCTTACTGAAATGTTAGGTTCTGAACATGTACAGGACCTGGTGGTATTAATGAATGTTGGTTCACATCGGATGCACCTGTTCAATATAACAAAAATAATTCTTAAAATGTTAACAAATTATACTAAACCTAATTTAAGAAAACTATCTTCCTAAATGATGGATTAAAACAGATTCATTCGGCTAAGCAATTATTTACATATATTAAACAAATCTAATATATTAACACTGATTGAATAGCTTTATACCTATTCTGTATACAAGGCAAAGAAAAAGAAAAAAAAAGCAAAAAGAAAAAAAACTAATCAATCTAGAAGAGTATTTTAACTACGTAAAATATATAGAATGAATATAGTATTTAACTATGTAAAATATATAGAATGAATACTGAATGGCTAAGAAATAATAGATTACACAAATGGAAAAACATTCCGTGCTTATAGACTTGAACAATCAATACTATTAAAATGACCATACTGTCCCAAGCAATCTACAGATTCAATGCAGTTTTTATCAAATTACCAACATCATTTTTCACAGAACCAGAAAAAAAGACTAAAATTCATACAAAACCAAATAGGAGCCCAAATAGTTAAAGCAATCCTGAGCAAAAAGAACAAAGCTGGAGAGATCACGTTACTCAATTTCAAAATATACTACAAGCCTACAGTAACCAAAAGAACATGGTACTGGTTTAAAAAAAAAGCTGGGTAGTGGTTCATGCCTGTAATTCCAGCACTTTGAGAGGCAGAGGTGAGAGGACTGCCTGAGCCCAGGGGTTTGAGACCAGCCCAGGCAACTTGGTGAGACCTCATCTCGACAATAAATCATAAAAATTAGCTGGGTATGGTGACATACACCTGTGGTTCCAGCAACTTGGAAGGATCACCTGAGCTCAGCCAGTTGACATTGAGGTAAAAAGATCTCCTGAGCCCAGCAGATTGAGACTGCAGTGGCTGTGAGTGTGCCACTGTACTCCAGCCTGGGCGACAGAGTGAGACTTTGACTTAAAAAAAAAAAAAAAAAGCCAGACTCGGTGGCTCACCCTGTAATCCCGCGCCTTTGGGAGGCTGAGGTGAGTGGACTGCCTGAGCCCGCGGGTTCGAGACCCGCCTAGGCAACTTGGCGAGACTTCATCTCTACAATAAATCAAAAATGAGCCGGGTGTGGTAGCGCACGCCTGTAGTTCCAGCTACTTGGACGTCTGAGGCAGAAGGATTGCCAGAGCCCAGCAGGTAGAGGCTGCAGTGGCCGGGAGTGGCCACTGCACTCTAGTCTGGGCGACAGAGTGAGACTCCAACTCAAAACAAACAAACAAACAAGCAAACAAACAAACAAAAAAAGGCATATAGCTCAATTAAACATTATACAGAACTCAGAAATAAAGCCACATACCTATAACCAACTAATATTCGACAAAATTGAAAAAATAAATAATGGGGAAAGAATACCTATTCACTAAATGGTATGGGGGAAAAACTGGCTAGCCATTTGCAGATGAATGAAACTGGACTACTATTTCTCACTGTATATAAAAGTTAATCCAAGATGGATTGAAGACTTAAATATAAGACCTCAAACTATAAAAAACCCTAAAAGAAAACCAAGGAAAACTCTTCTGCACATTGGTCTAGGCAAATAATTTATGACTAAGACTTCAAAAGCAATTGTAACCAAAACAAAAATTGACAAATGTAATTAAATTAAATATCTTCTGCACAGCAAAAGAAACAATAAACAGAGTGAACAGAAAAGCTAAAGAATGTGAAAAATACCTGCAAATTATGTATCTAACAAATAATTAATTACCAGAATCTATAAGGAACTCAACTCAACATGAAAAAAACAACCCCATCAAAAAGTGGGCATAGTGGGCATAGTGGCTCAAGCCTGTAATCCCAGTACTTTGGGAGGCTGAGGCAAGAGGACAGCCTGAGCCCAGGGGTTGGAGACCAGCCTGTGCAACTTGGTGAGACCCCGTCTCTACAATATATCAAAAAATGAGCTGGACATGGTAGCGTACACCCGTAGTTCCAGCTACTTGGAAGGATCACCTGAGCTCAGCTGGTTGACACCAGGGTGGCTGTGAGCATGCCACTGCACTGCACTCCAGCCTGGTTGATGGAATGAGACTCTAACTGAAAAAAAAAAAAAAAAGTGGGCATAGGACATGAACAGACACTTCTCAAAAGGAGACATGTAAGTGGCCAGCAAATATATGAAAAAACACTCAACATCACTAATCATTAGAGAAATACAAAATTTAAACCACAATGAGATACTACATCACACCAGTTGCAGTAGCTCTTATTAAAAAGTAAAAAAGTAGCTATAATGTCAGCACTTTGGGAGGTGGACACAGAAGGATCGCTAGAGCCCAGAACTTCGAGACCAGTATAGACAACATAGGGAGACCTGGTCTTTACAAAAAATTAAAATATTAGCCAGGTGTGATGGCACATGACTGTAGTCCCAGCTACTCAGGAGGCTGAGGTGGAAGGATCGCCTGAGCAGAGAAGGTTGAGGCTGCAGTGAGTCATGATCATGACACTGCAGTCCAGCCTGGCCAACAGAGTGAGACTCAAACTCCAAAAAAAGGAAAAAAATAACATGATGTTGGTGAGGATGCAGAGAAAAGTGAACACTCACATAGTTTGTAGGAATGTAAAATAGTTCAACCCCTATGGAAAACAGTAGGGATATTTATCAAAGAACTATAAATAGAACTACCATTCTACTCAACAATCCCACTACTGGGTAGCTACCCAAAGGAAAAGAAATAATTGGCTGAGGGCAGTGGCTCACACCTGTCATCTCAACACTTTGGGAAGCCAAGGTGAGAGAATTGCTTGAGCTCAGGAGTTTGACAAAAATAGCCTGGGCAACACAGCAAAACCTCATCTCTACAGAAAAATAAAATTAGCCAGGCATGGTGGCACACACCTGTAGTCCCAGCTACTCGGGAGGTTGAGGTGGGAGGATCACCAGAGCCCAGGAAGTCGAGGCTGAGGCGAGCCAAGATCATGCCACTGCACTCCAGTCTGGGTGACACAGTGAGACCTCGTCTCAAAAAAAAGAATTATATCAAAAGAACACCTGCATTCATATGTTTATCACAATACTATTCACAATAGCCAAGTCATGGAATTGACCTAAGTGTTCATTAGCAGTAGATTGGATAAAGAAATGTGGTACATATCCACCACAGAATACTACACAGTCATAAAAAAGAATGAAATCATGTCCTTTGCAGCTGGAGGTCATTACCCTAATTGAGTTAACACAAACAAAATAAAATACTGCATGGACTCACATATAAGCAGGCGCTAAAAAATGGGTACACATAGACATGAAGATGGAAACAACAGACATTGAGGAGAGGACGGGGACAAGGGTTGAAAAACTACTTAATGAGCTTGGCACGGTGGCTCATGCCTATAATCCCAGCACGTTGGGGGATGAAGATCGAGAGGATTGCCTGAGCCCAGGGTTTGAGGCAAGCCTAAGCAACTTGGTGAGACCTCGTCTCTACAATAAATCATAAAAATTAGCCGGGTGTGGTGGCACACGCCTGTGGTTCCAGCTATTTGGAAGACTGAGGTAGAAAGATTGCCTGAATCCAGCAGGTCAAGGCTGCAGTGGCCATGAGCGTGCCACTGCACTCCAGTCTGGGTGACAGAGTGAGACTCTGACTCAAAAAACAAAACAAAAAATTACCTACTGGATAATAAGTTCACTATTTGGGTGATGGGTTCACTAGAAGCACCCAAAACCCAGCGTCATCCAAGATACATAAATAAACTTGCACATGTATCCCCTGCTTCTAAAATAAAATAATGTAAAAAAGAAAATAGGACTATAAATCAGGATGCTTTGGTTATAACTATTATTATATTTACTAATGTTTTCCTATTCAACATTATAATATATAAAGGCTTTAGCACAATATTTGGTACATGATTCTATTATGATTATGTTCAAATTACATAATAACAAACAAAAATAGCTACTTTTTTTTTTTTTTTTTTTTTTTTTAAGTTGGAGTCTCACTCTGTTGCCCAGACTGGAGTGCAGTGGCCGCTCCTGGCCATTGCAGCCTCGACCTGCTGGGCTCCGGCGATCCTTCCGCCTCAGCCCTCCAAGTAGCCGAATACTTTTTTTTTTTTTTTAAAGAGACATCTTCTTGGTATGTTGCCTAGGCTGGTCTTGAACTCCTGTCCTCGAGCAGTCCTCCCACCTTGGTCTCTCAAAGTGCTGAGATTACAGGCATGAGCCACCATGCCTGACCAAAAATGCCTTTACTGAGCATTTCTATGTATGCAAGCTGGGCATGGTGGCTCACACCTGTAATCCTAGCACTTTGGGAGGCAGAGGCAAGAGGACTGCCTGAGCCCAGGGGTTCAAGATCAGCCTGAGCAACTTAGCGAGACCTCGTCACTACTATAAATTAAAAAATTAGCTTGGTGTGGTGGTGCATGCCTGTAGTTCCAGCAGAAAGATTGCCTAAGCCCCGCAGGTCAAGGCTGTGGTAGCTGTGAGTGTGCCACTGTACTCCAGCCTGGGAACAGAGACTCCAACTCAAATAAATAAATAAATAAAAAAACGCTATGCTAAGAACTTTACATATTTATTTCTGAGCTATTAATGCCAAAGAAGTGAGTAGGATATTCCCATACTAAAGACAAAGTACTGAGAGTTACTGAGCTATCCAAGGTCAAAAAACAAATAGACTGAGCCAAAATTTGAGCCTTATCTTGCCTCATGCTCTGGGTCTCAGCTTATCTGTTAACGTCAACTTCTACCTTTCCTTGGGTTATTATGAGGAACAAGTCATATGATAGAAAAGTACTTTTTAAAAGGACAGATTAAATAAAATATAAAATGATTTTAATGAAGTCAGCCCCTGCCACTGCTTACCTGTTTCCTAAAGCATTTGCTACCGAAAAAGAATTTTCATTTCCATCACAGAGCTCACAAGTTGCTTGAGACAACAACGTTCCATTAATATCTCTTTCCACTAAACAATTTGGGAACAAAATTAAGATGTAATTCATAGTGACCATATAAGCATCTATATACTTAAAAAGTATTTAATAAAATGAACTATTATTCAAATAATTCTCAAAACACCTTATTTGCATTAAAGGCATATCAAGCATCTCCATAATAAAAAGAAGTGAAGACTTCCCATTATAATAAAATGTAGAAACTAGGTTTCCAAGTCATCATAACAAAAAGCAGTAATTTTTTCTCAAAAATTGTCTTACCTTTTACCTATAAATTGCTGGATAAGTTTCTGTAATTTAGAGGGTTTTTAGTAGTATCTATTAAGGTTTTAAATTCACATTCTCTACAATTCTACAATTTCATTTTAGACAACTAACCTACAGAAACACTTTTACATGTGTAAGGGCTATTCACTGAAGTATTATTTGTTAGAAAACAACCTGAATATCTAAAATAGCAGAATGGTGATATGTCCAGGCTATGAAATACTATGAGGCAGAGTTTTAAAAGTCAGGTAGATCTTCCAGATCATACTGCTAACTAAAAGAAGTATGCTACAGAACAAGATCTGTTGAATAGCCCTTACACATGAAACATTTATATAAAAGTATCACTTAAATTTCCTGTGGCAAAAGAGGAAAGAGGAAAAAAATTCTGAAAGGACACACACACATATACTCATCTCAAAATGATAACCATTACTTTGGGGTTGAGAGAGGAATAGAGAATCAGCATTGGGAAAAGTGGTCAAAGAGGACGTTAGTCTTATCCATAATATCTTAGGTTTTTGAATGGTGGTAAGACACAATTTTAACAAAAAGGGAAGGTAAACAACTTGTTCTACCTACTCTAGCCAGTAAGTTTTTCACTCTGGAGGCAACATTGTTAACTAGTTTCTTAGAATTCCTTCCAGTAGCCGGGCTCGGTGGCTCAGCCTGTAATCCCACGCTTTGGGAGGCTGAGGTGAGTGGATTGCCTGAGCCCAAGGGTTCGAGACCCACCTGGGCAACTTGGTGAGACCTCATCTCTACAATAAATCAAAAAATCAGCCAGGCATGGTAGCACTTGCCTGTAATTCCAGCTACTTGGAAGGCTGAGGCGGAAGGATCGCCGGAGCCCAGCGGGTCGAGGCTGCGGTGGCCAGGAGCGGCCACTGCACTCCAGTCTGGGTGACAGAGTGAGACTCCAACTCAAAAAAAAAAAAAAAAAAATCCTTCCAAAAATAGGCTGTGTATATACAAGCACATATGCATATATAATCTTCTGTAAAAATAGTAGCATACCAAATATATAAAGCAGGGCTGATGTACAGCAGGTACTCAATAAGCATTTGTAGATTGATTAATTATTCTATATCTTGCACTTTCATTCAATATATCTAGGAATTATTTCTATAGTAATATGTATAGAACTGTCTATTTTTCCATGATTGCATTCTTAATTATTATATGGACAGTCTGTGATTTGACCAATCTTGATAGACTTAATGTGTTGTTTACAATCTTTTGTCTTATAAATATGTTGCAACAAAAAACTGTTCATACACTTCTTCAGAAATACACTTAGATGTATGCAAATAAGAACTTTCTAGATGAGGGCTTCCTGGGCAAACATGATTTGCATTTTAAATTTTGATGAATAGTGTCAATTTGCTCTCCATAAAGTCTGCACTTATTTATAATTTCCCACTAATACATATGACTGTTTCCCAGTATACTTACAAATACATGGCCAAAGTTGAAATAATTTAACAATAAAATCTAGTAGGCTAAAAATAAATTTCCATTTTAGCGTTAATTCACATTTTCTTGCTCTGAGTAAGGTTGAACATTCTTTTTCATGTTAACATATTTTTTTCTCTGTGTACATTATTCATGATTTCTGGCAATTTTACATTGGGTTATTCCTCTTACTCTTCCCTATTTGTAGGAGCTTTACATATATTAAAGTACTTAAATCTCTGTTGTATGTATTATATATTTGTCTTCAGTTTGTAGTTTGGTTTTTGTTATTATCTTAGTTTTTTTTTTCCGAGATAATGTTCCACTCTGTCACCCTGGGTGAAATGCAGTGACCCAATCATACCTCACTGCAGCCTAGAATTTCTGGGTCAAGCCTCAGCCTCCTGAGTAGTTGAGACTACACACATGTACCACCACACCTGGCTAATATTTTTTTAAAAATTTTTTAGGGGGGGGGTCTTGCTATGTTGCCTAGGCTGTCTTGAACTCCTAGCCTCAAGTGATCCTCCTGCTTCAGCCTCCCCAAATTCTGGGACTGCAGGTGCAAACCACAACTGGCAGTATTATAACTTTTTATGGTATTTAAAAATTTTTATGTAGTAAATTTACCAATTTTTCCTTCTATAGCAGGGGTCCCCAACACCTGGGTCACTGACTGGTAACGGTTCGTGGCCTGTTAGGAACCGGGTCACACAGAGGGAGGTAAGCAGGGGTGAGCAAGTGAAGTTTATCTGTATTTACAGCTGCTCCCTATTGCTCACATTACAGCCTGAGCTCTACTGTTTGTCAGATCAGTAGTGACATATTAGATCTCTTAAGAGTGCAAACCTATTGTGAACTGTGTATTGGAGGAATACAGGTTGCTGCTGCTTATGAGAATCTAATGCCTGATGAAATACCGAATAACATTAGCAGTGAGGTTTGACTGTACATCCTCCCTCCCCCACGAAACTGGTCCCTGATGCAAGACCCCTGTCTGTTTTGTTTTGTTTTTTTTGATTTGAGGCCTTACTCTGTCACCCAGGCTGGAGTGCAGTGGCACAGTCGCAGCCACCACAGCCTTGATCTAATGGGCTCAGGTGATCCTTCTGCCTCAGCCTTTCAAGTAGCTGGAAGTACAGACGCGTGCCACCATGCCCAACAAATTTTTTGATTTATTGTAGAGACAAGGTCTCGCCAAGTTGCCCAGCCTGGTCTTGAACCCCTGGGCTCAGGCAATCCTCTCACCTACACTTCCCAAAGTGCTGGGATTACAGGTGTGAACCACCATGCCCACCCAACATCTTTCTAATAGACTTTCAAAAACCTTTGCTAGTATAGAATATTAATGCATAAAAAGAAATGTCCTTATACATTAATTTTAACAACTTTATGTGTAATAGATATTATAACTTTACCCATTTTGAATCATCAATTAATTTTTTAAAGCTAATATATTTGAATTTTTTACTTTTTAAAAAATTTTTTGTTGTAGAGATGAGGTCTCGCCAAGTTGCCCAGGCTGGTCTCAAATCCATGGGTTCAGTCAATCCTCTCACTTTGGTCTCCCAAAGTGCTTGGATTATAGGTGTGAACCACCATGCCCACCCAACATCTTTCTAATAGACTTTCCTTCCAAAAATGAAGAATGTACTTTCACTGAGTAAAACATGAGTTTGTATCCCTCAGTAGCATTCAAAGATTTCTTCAACTTATCTTCCACATTTCTTCTTAAGTTTATGCCTAAGTAGTCTTTCATTTTTGTTGCTACTGTAAATGAGATATTTTCTTCCATCACATTTTCTAAAGAAATTATTGTTTTTATATCAGAAGACTATGAATTTTGGGGTCTTAATTCTGTACCTAGAAACCTTCACTATTTATATTAAGTATAGTCATTTCCTTTTTTTTTTTTTTTTGAGGTGGAGTCTCACTCTGTTGCCCAGACTGGAGTGCAGTGGCCGCTCCCGGCCACCCCTGCCTTGACCTGCTGGGCTCAGGAGATCCTTCCGCCTCAGCCTTCCAAGTAGCTGGAACTACAGGCGAGCGCTACCATGCCCAGCTAATTTCTTTTGATTTATTGTAGAGATGAGGTCTCACCAAGTTGCCCAGGTGGGTCTCGAACCCGCGGGCTCAGGCAATCCACTCACCTCAGCCTCCCAAAGGCGCGGGATTACAGGCTGAGCCACCGAGCCCGGCTTCCTTGGGTTTTCTAAACATGCAATCAAATCATATGTAACTAATAATTTTTACATATTCTTTTCCTGTTTTTTAAAATCTTAGTTAAGTGCATTAGTTACACCTTTTATTGGGTTGTAACATTAATTGGAATGCTTACAATTTTTCCCTACTAAGCATCATACTACATTTTGAGTTGAGATATATATATTTTGTCATGTTAAGGAAATATCTATCTAATCCTACATGATCAAGAATGTGTTTTTTAATCAAATAAAGCTTTTTATCTTCTTTTCAAAGCATGCTGATGTCTTAAGAACCATTAAATTTTGTTCAAAAATAATTTTTAAAACATTAATAAGTAATCACAAAACTATTTAATATCCTTTTCATAAACAAACACAAATTAAGATTTGTCACTCTATTTTGTAAAGAATCTAATTCTTACCCAAAATATGGCCCGTGGGACAGTGGCATTTTCCTTCTGCAGTTAAGCCACTAGGGCAAGAAATGCAGTTCCAGCCATCTTCAGTAACACCTTTCTAAATGAAAAGAAAAAAAATTTTTTCTCCTTTTTAACTTTCTTCTTCTTCACTGAACACGTAAATTCAAAATGCCATAACTGTGTATAATTTGCAGCAAATATTCAATGAAATCATACATGTATGAGTCACATAAAAATTCCCTTCATCAACAAGGGTACCTGCAAAATGAACATTTGTATACCTAATCCTGAATTGTACCACACATATTTAAAAATTCCCTTCATAGCCAATTCAGGCTCATATTCCAAGATTAAGCTTTATGTTATTATCATGTACTGACTACTATTAAAGGATTAACTCTGGGTAAGAGTTTTGTCATGAACTTCACTTCAAATGGTTACCCTCATAATTAATTTTGTCATTCAATTCTACTTACAAATAAAAAACGCAACATAATAGGACTGGATCAATAGAGAGCCAGTTAATAGTTTAGTCTTATGTGTTCTAAAAAAAAATTATTCTAATTAAAAAAAATTCATTCTTTTCCTTTTTTTGGTCCTGAAGAAAAAAATTAAAAAGTAAAAGTAAAAAATTTGGCCGGGTGCAGTGGCTCACGCCTATAATCCAAGTACTTTGGGAGGCCAAGGTGAGAGGACTGCCTGAGCCCAGGGATTCGAGACCAGCCTGGGAAACTTGGCGAGACTTCATCTCTACAACAAAAAATTTTTTTAAAAGGTAAAAAATTCAAATATATTAGCTTTAAAAAATTAATTGATGATTCAAAATGGGTAAAGTTATAAAATATATTACACATAAAGTTGTTAAAATTAATTTATGAGGTTATTTTTTATGCATTAATATCCTATACTAGCAAAGGTTTTTGAAAGTGTGACATCTTTCAAAATTGTGCTTATATTGTATGATTTAGGAAAAGCCTGGGGCAAAATACAGTAATTACAAACATGGATAGAGTCAAAATTAAGAAAGAACAATGGTAAAAACAAAATAATGCCACGAGTTATTTTAAATTTTGGTTGAAAAACTGGATTTATCAAGAAACAATCCTATATTTGGCACTATGTTCAATAAGGATATTAAAAATTACAATACCTTAAATAATGTCAATAAAAAATAAGTCTTATTCAGCACCATTATTAGCAGCTTTTATCATTGGTAATTCAGCTAGAACCAATATTTGCAAAGACATAAAATAAATATCAAGATAGTAACCAGACCTGAAAGTAATACAGATAGCTATAAATTAGGAAAACTGATAACTTTCTACTAAATTCCCAGATTAATTTTTTTTAACATGGCAATGAGAAGAAACATTACTGAAAAAATCAGAACTGTCATACAGACTCCTAATTATCCAAAAGGATTACAAAATGTGTTAATTGAGCATTATCATACATAGCAACTATTAATTTACTATTCCAAAAATTATGATATGATGAAATCACTAATACAACTGCAACAGAAATTTTGTAACATATTTATTGATGCAACTGGCATTTCTTAACCTACCATACCTACAATATCATTATAAACAATAATAATCATATAAAACTATTGACAAAGTAGCTCTAAGACGCTGAACACAATTTGCACCAAAGGATATACACATACCAAATTGCTCTATCTATAGATTATTCATCAAATACTCTGTATAACTGAGTCACTCTATGAGGAAAATCAAAAACACAAATTTTCACAGCTTTCTGGCTCTTTTGGAATTCAAATTTTAAAAGTTAAGAAATAGCTGGGCACAATACACTGGTAGGCCAAGGTGAGAGGACTGTCTAAGTCCAGGAGTTCAGAGCAGCCTGGGCAACATGGCGAAACCTCTACAATAAATCCAAATTAGCCGGACATAGTGGTGAGTGCCTGTAGTATCAGCAACTTGGGAGGCTGAGGCAGAAGGATCGCCCAAACTCAGGAAGTCAAGGCTGCAGTAGCCACGATTGTGCCACTGTACTCCAGCCTGGGTGACAGAGTGAGACTCCAACTCAAAAAAAAAAAAAGTTGACAAATACAGTTCTGTTTTTTTTAAGTTTGCATAAAATTTCACTAATCCCCCAAAATTTACCCTAAAAAGTAAAATTAGCTTAAAAATTTGAAAATTTGTGGGAAATATTAAACATTAAGTCATAATCCCAGAACTTTAGGAGGGTGAGGCAGGAGGATCACTTGAGGCCAAGAGTTCACTTGGGCAAAATAGCAAGAGCTCACCTTCACAAAAAAAAATTTTAAAATTTTATTTTTTTAGGCCGGGATTGGTGGCTCACACCTGTAATCTCAGCACTTTGGGAGGCCAAAGTGAGGGATCGCTTGAAACCCTGCCTATATTATATACAAAATAAAAAAATTAGCTGGGCATGGTGGAGTGGGTCTATATTCCTACCCACTAAAGAGGCTAAGGCAGAAGGATCTCCTGAGCCCAGGAGTTCAACACTCCAGTGAGCTATGACTGCACCACTGTATTCCAGCCGAGACAACTGAAGGAGACTTTGTCTCTAAAAAACAAAAAGACATTTAACTTTTTACAGTAAAGTTATTGCAAAATAAATTGTCCGCACCATGTTTTCTGGGCACTTTTTACAAATAATGGCAGGTCCTCCATTATTAGAGATCATTTGATATCCTGGTAGACAAACACATGAAGTACCTAAAAAAAAAAAAAAAATTATTCTTGGTAAATAAAAATAAAACTCCAAGATAGTGAAACTAATAATAATTCTAAAAATCTTGGGAAGTAGTAAAGTGGTTAACAGCAAGACCCTAGAACCAGCATTGCCTGGGTTCAAATCCAGAAACATACTCCTTGAGTTTCAATCCTAGTTCTATTTAGCTGTGTGACCTTGAGCAAGTTACTAAACTACTTTGTGCCTTGGCTTCCTCTATGGTTAAGTGGGAAAAAAAACACCACCACCAAAAACAGTATCCATCTAATAACTGAATACCCCAGTTAGGATGGGTATTCAATTATTATATGGAAAGGTCTCAGAAGACTCCCAGGCAAACAGCTGGTATTATATTGCTACCATTTTAAGTCCAAATAAACTTTAAACTATTAAACTAGTTTTAATTTTTATTTTGACTGCTGGAGGAAACTACATTTCTATGTCACTAAATAATACAAATATATTTAATGAATTCCAATTTACTCTGTCATAACCTTATTAAGAAACTGACCTTTATTCAAACAAATCACTGTTTCTCTATTGGTATAGAGTAAACATAATAATAAGATAATCACTAGTCAACTTGCCAGACAGAAAAGGACAGCTTTCTCTAGGAGTCATTAGGTGGAAATAGAACCCACAAGTGTCTATGTACTACAATGCATACAATATCTGGATTAAAATTCTGGAACTAATATCTTACATTTTAGAATCTAAAATACTTTCTCATTCATATGTCTTGACTTGTACAGCCCAATCTGTCTTGTTTCATATCTTAAGTAAGGATATATGAAATATGAAGATGGCAGAAAGCTACTAACGGGGTGACCAAAAGAGATGGAAAACATCTTAGACTTTAGGATACGGGAAAGACTTATACTGGGCAGTTTCAGTAAGAACTAGGAACACATGATGGACTTGGGGAGAGATGAAGCTTATAACCTTAAGAGATTTTAAGAGCAATTAGCAAAATTCAGTAAAAAGGATAAGTCTTGAGAAATCTATATTAGAAACACACCGTAGAGTGGAAATACATAAGTCAAGACTGAGAGCAAAGAAACGTGAATTCTTCCAGTCTTCAAATGAGGTGACACAGAGACGTTACAACCTTGCGTGGCCTTCAATTTCCTTATCTGTCAAATAAGGAGACTGGATCTGATCACGGTTTAGGTCCCTTCCAGCTCTAATTTTCGGGGATTTGAAAAGCCAAGTATGAGCTATCCAAGTGTGCCAGCGCTAATCTGCATTTCCTCCCGAGTCTCTCCCCTCACCTGCTCCTCTTGACCTCAGATTACTTCTCTACTCTTTCTTTTCTCTCTTCGTACGGCGCTTTCCAGGAGCTGCCCTAAAGACAACCTCCCCTCCCCCCACCCCGACACACACACCCGATGAGAAGTGGGGAACCGCCGCCGATCAATGAACCGCTAGCGGCGGCTCCCGGGGTTAATGGCCTCGGAGTGCCCAACAACACTCATGTGCAAACCGCAGTCTTCCAAGGAACCCTCTCCTCGGGCTCGGCGGCTCACTTTTCTGAAACTTTCCTCCCGCAGTCCAAAAGGGCTATCAGCGGCTCAGGGACTGGAGGCAGCCCCAGGCGGGAGTGTCACCTGGGCCGGGGTCACCTCCACCCTCACCTCGGGCATCCGGCCTCTGGTGGGCGCCACACGAGACGCAGGAGAGCGCGGAGATGTCGAAGTACTGGCTGCGGTCGCACTTCTCCGGCTGCTGGAAAGGGAACGAGAAGACCTGGGCCTGTGAGGCTCCAGGGAGAAACAACAGGAGGAGCGCACTCCCAGTCCCCACGAGTAACGCGGAAAACGCCGCCATGGCCACCCCCGTCCCACAGGCCGTCGCCATGGTATCGACGCTGGCGGCCGCGCGGCCTCCACCGCCCCATCGGCCTTTGCGGCGACTCCGCTGTGCTGATTGGGCGATACGAGCCTGGGCTTCCGGAAGTCTCCGGTGGTGCGGCTTGTTGCCAGGTTACCAAACCCGCCCGAGGCTGGCTGGTCCAGGAGAGGATGGGAAAGGTAACCTCGGAGCCGGACGACAATTGTGAACTGGTACAGATGATACTCGACTTACGATGGGGCTGTCTCCCGATAAAATCATCACCAATTAAAAGGATCGGAAATCGAAAGTGCATTTTCGACTCCCCGATACTTTCAACTTGTGTTGGATTCATCCAGAAGTCCACATGTTTCGTTAGCCTAGGAGCATACTGAAGGCGTATTGCTTTGGCACCATGGTAAAGTCGAAAAACCATTATGTGGAACTCTCATAAGCCAGGGATAGTTTGTATTTAAAATTCTGGAACTCAATCCTTTAGTGGGAAGTGAAATCAATTTAGGGGATCGGAAAATGAAATACCAAAGCAAATATTCTATTGCATCACCGAAGTTAATACTAAGGACCAGGCGCGATGGTTCACGCTAGTAAATCACAGCACTTTGGGAGGCCGAGACAGGAGAAATGCTTGAACCCAGAAGTTTGAGATTAGCTTGGGCAACCCAGTGATACCTTGTCTCTACAATTGTTGTTGTTGTTGTTGTTCTTTTTAAGTTAGCCGAGGGCTTGGTTGCACTCGTCTGTAGTCCCGACTACTCGGAAGGCTGATGCGGAAGAAGCCTGAGGCCAGTAGGTTGAGGCTGCCGGTTAGCAGTGACGTACCACTGCACACCAGCCTGGGTGACAGAGACCCTGACTCAAAACAAAAACAAAATAAGGCCGGGCGCGGTGGCTCAAGCCAGTAATCCCAGCACTTTGGGAGGCCGAGGCCAGAGGATTGTCTGAGCTCAGGGGTTTGAGACCAGCCTGGGCAACTTGGGGAGACCTTGTCTCTACAATAAACTAAAAAATAAACCTGGCGTGGTAGAGCATGCTTGTAGCTCCAGCAACTTGGAAGGCTGAGGCAAAAGGGTCACCTAAACCCAACAGGTCGAGGCTGTGGTGGTTGTGAGCGTGCCACTGCATCATTCCAGCCTCAGCAACAGAGTGAGACTAAGACTCAAAAAAAAAAAAAAAAGTAAGTATTGTTTCATGAAACTATTGAGTGATATTTACATAAGACTGGGTAATTTCCATGCTAAAGGAGTCTTGACATAGTTTAACAATTTGTCAAAAAAATCCACTGATTTAAAATATACGATACTTAAGGCCAGGGACTGGGACTCTTGCCAGTAATCCCAACACTTTGGGAGGCTGAGAAGGAGGATTGCTTGAGCCCAGGATTTCCAGACCAGGAAGATTACTAAGGTTCAATAATTTTTTTAAAAAAGGAGAACAAATTTCCTGCCAAGTCTTTGTTTTGTACTTTTCTTGTTTTGAACACTGACAATCATGTATGTAAGACAAAGTAGTACACTTAGGAAACCATTATTACCAAATGTTTTAAATTTACCACTAGAGGGAGGATCTACATTTCTCAAGTACTGAAGATTCAAAGAGCAAAAAAAAAAAAAAAAAAGATAAAAACAACAAAAAAAGAAAACCTAAATCTTTTGCTGGGAATAAAAGTTTTATTTCTGTGTATCAGCACTGAAATAATCTGCTTAAGCTACCTAACATGGAAAACTGCATTTGAAGTTCCATTGTTAGGTGTGAATCCACTGTTATCAAATAAATACAATATGCCATAATTGGTCACTTATCTTTCTTTCTAAAAGAAAACTGGGGAGGGAAGGAGGAAGCTCAGATTAGCAAAATAATAATATAACGTAAACAAAAATCATCTAGTTTAAACTACATCTTCCCTAAATTCCGAAAGACATAAGAATGAAAAACAATTCAAAAATAATAATAATCAGCTGGTTATATAGTGTCTTTTTCCACTTTATGCAGAGCACTTGAGTTCAAGAATGGTAAATTTAGCACCTAGTACATAATAAATTCTCAGTAAGTAATGATGAATAAATGAGTGAATAAAGCTAACGGAACTCTTTGCTTCCAGTGGACCCCTCTTCAACACTGCTAAGTAAACTGGAGTTCATTCAGTGTTACACAAAATCATATTGTACTGTTTTCATAATAAATAGACAAATACTATGTAGTAGTTTAATAATGCTCTGGGTATATACTGCTTGTAACCTGGAACAATAATTTTCAAAATTTTGGAATGCTACCCAATGATTGATTGATCCTGTGGCATACAACCGCTTTCTTCCAAATATAAAATGACATTCGAGTATTTCCATTTGTTTAAGGGCTATGAAAAAAATTCATTCTTCTTGAAAGACAGAGAAAGATGCTGGTACAATAGAAAGAACACTGAGAGAGAAGTCAAAGGATTGAATGCTAGTTCTCCTACTATCTCCTCATATGACACTGGCCAAGGCACTTTACCTCCCACCCAGGACCTGGATCATCTTCTATAAGATGTGCCTCTTGTTACCATGAGGAGTTACCAAAATTTCTGCTACCAGTGTTCAGTGTGGTCAGGTTCTTATCTTCTTATTTAGAAGGAATTCACAAACAGGCAGTAAAGCAAGCAGGTGGCTTTTATTGAGCAAAGCAAAAGTACATTAGAGCACAAATAAGACAGTTCCAAAGAAGTTGCTATTTCTTAAAGAGATACTGCATTTATCAAGGGAGGAGAAGCAAGCATGACAGTTGAGGCAAGCTGTTGTCAAAAGTGCCATGCCAAGCGTTATCAATTTTGCTTTTTATCCCTTTGGCTATAAAGGGGCTAGTCTAGGGGTAGGAATTTTCCTAGAAATGGATGTCTCAGGGCTTGATTTTAGTCACCCTTCCCTCCCATCAGGTGGGTGAGTTTTAAGGTTTATAGGGTCATCCTGGGACTGTCATGATGGTAGGTGCATGATGGGAGCCTGAGCATAATTTTATATTAATAGTATTACAATGAAGGTAAACACCAAGAATGGGGTATTTCAGGTAACCTTGGCTATGGGTGCACAATGCTCCAGGGGGTCTCAAAGCTAGTTCCTGCCCCTGTGTTCAGGTCCCAACCACAAACATCCTAAGTAGGCTGCAGCAGGCCTTGTCTGACACGGGTTTAACCATTTAAGCTATAGGTGTGAAGTTGTAATTTTTCTGACTTGGCTGCTTGTAAGTGTGCCTCTGCAATGACTGCAGCAGGTGTCAATGGGTTGTAGAATTTTTCTACAGCCCTGAAATTCCTAACCTGCCTACTCTTTCACTAGGAGAAAGTGTAGCCTATGATAAAGAGTCTCCAAGCAGTGTAAAGACTTGAAAACAATTGTGATGATGCATGTTTTAAAATATCCATTGATGGGACACTGTGAGACCAATGAGTACATATCTCTGGAGAAGGGTTTCTAGAGGACATCCTTTCCTCTAGGAGCAGACTAAAGATGTACAATGCAATATGGAGTTATTGAAAATAACTATACTGTACATGAGGCATTTCTAAAAGCTTGAAGAGTTACATCATGAATAACTTGTTCTAACACTTCAACACCTTCACAGTGATACTAAGACAAGGACTATGATGGTAAATTTTATTTTATTTTTTTATTTTTTATTTTTTTGAGTTGGAGTCTCAGTCACCCAGACTGGAGTGCAGTGGCCGCTCCCGACCACCACAGCCTCGACCTGCTAGGCTCCAGCGATCCTTCCTCCTCAGCTTCCAAGTAGCTGGAACTACAGGCGCACACTACCACACCAGCTAATTTTTTGATTTATTGTAGAGATGAGGTCTCGCCAAGTTGCCCAGGCGGGTCTCAAATCCGCGGGCTCAGGCAATCCACTCACCTCAGCCTCCCAAAGCGCAGGATTACAGGCTGAGCCACTGAGCCCGGCTGAAGGTAAATTTTATAAGTCAATTTGTTGGGGCCATGGGTGCACAGACTTTTAGCCAAACATGATTCTGGGTGTGTCTGTGAGGGTGTTTCTAGATGAGATGACTGTTTGAGCAAAGCAGGTGGCCAGCCCTGATGCAGGTAGGCCACATCCAATCAACAGAAGACCTGGAAAGCCCAACATAGCTGGGTAGAAGGAAACTGCCCCTACCTGGCTGCTTGAACTCGGACATAGATCTTTTCCAGCCTTTCAAATAGGACTTAATCATCTCCTTCACATAAGTCTCAAGACTGTTAGCTTTTAGATTGTATTTTAAACCGTCAGTTCTGCTACTTTCTCAAGCCTTTGGACTTGGACTGAAACAACATATTGGCTTGTTGGGTGTCCAGATTGTGAACTGAAGATTGTGGGACTTCTCAATTTCCTTAATCATTTAACTTAATTCCTTATAATAAAATGATATAATCTCACTTTGGGAGGCCAAGGCAGGAAGGTCGCTTGAGGCTAGGAGTTCAAGACCAGACTGGACAACATAACACGACCTTATATCTATTAAAAATATTATATATTCTACTGGATGTATGAGGGAATCTCCCCAAAATGATTTATTTATTAAAAATTGTGTATTTATTCTTACTTATGTAAATTTCAATCACCTTCAAAGTACTCCCCATTTGATGCAATACACCTATTGAGACATTTTTTCCACTGCTCAAAACACTTTTTGAACTTGTCAGTTTTGATGCCTTTTAGTGCTTCTGCTGTTTTTTGCTTCACCCCTTCCACAAAACGTTTCCCTTTGAGGACATTTTTCATCTGGGGAAACAAAACAAAAAAATGAGGTCATGCCATTTTTGGTCAAAAGCTGCTGAGCACTCAGTGTGGTAGGGGCAGGTACATCGTCATGGTGGAAAAATCAGTTATCTGTTTGCCACAATTCAGGATTTTTCTTCTGCAAATCATGATACAACTTTCTCAAAACTTCCAGATAAAAACTTTGGTTGGCCAGGCACAGTGGCTCAGTCTGTAATCCCAGCACTTTGGGAGTCCGAGGTGAGAGAATTGCCTGAGCCCAGGGGCTTGAGACCAGCCTGGGCAACTTGGTAGCCTTGTCTCTACAGTAAATCACAAGCAAACTAGCCAG